GGTTTGATTCCGGTCAAGGGCATGTACCTTGGTTGCGGGCACATCCCCAGTGGGGAGTGTGCAGGAGGCAGCTGATCGATGTTACTTTCTCATCAATGTTTCTGACTCTCTATCCGTCTCCCTTCCTCTCTGTAAAAAATCCATAAAATATATATTTTTAAAAAGAATATATGTGTGAGCCCTGACCAGGTGGCTCAGTTGGTTAGAGCACCCTCCTGATACACCAAGGTTGCAGGTTTGATCCCCAGTCAGGGCACATACAAGAATCAACCAACGAATGCATAAGTAAGTAGAACAACAAATCAATGCTTCTCTCTCTCTAAAATCAATAATAATAATAATAATAATAATAATAATAATAAAAGAATATGTGTGCGTGTGTTTGTTTCTAGGCACCCAATACCCAGCACTTGATAGGATTTAACATTTATTAACTGTCTAGCTTGTTCCCCACAGAAAACCGGGGTACTAGAAAAGGCAGGAATTATTGCTCTCCCATTTTAAGATGGCAGAAACTGAGAGAGATTAGTTGACTTGTTTCAACAGTCTGGGGGAGCGGGGAGAATCAAACCCAGTTCTGTCTTGTTCTACATTTCTTGCTTTTTCTAGTCCCATATGAGCATGTGCGTGTGTGTGTGTGTCTGTATGTGTGTGTGTGTGTGAGGGAGGAAGGGAGGAAGGTATACTTGTGAATGTGGATCTAGCACATCCACATACACATGTGCTAGAGAGAGGAATTTCTGTTTCAGAGGCAGAAGTGATTGCTAGAGAATCGGGGCTTTAAGAATTGAATAACAGCAAAAAATGCACAGAGGTTATGGTCAATAATGAATCCAAATTATCACAGCTAAAATGCTCAAAACTCCAGGAAAAGCCTCCTTTCAGCTCTCCCAAGCTAACCTCATGTCCTCGTGATTCCTCTTCATATTCCTATTATTGTAGGTTTGGGAGGTTGACTGTTCTGTTAGTGCCTTTCTCTGGAGCCTAGAATTCCTCCTGATAAAATCTGCTTTGTGTTCTGCACACTTCCTGGGGAGGCAGAAGGGGCAGAGACAAAGCGGATTGTTTCTCATGTTGTGAAGAGAGAAACTGAGGCCCAGAGGGGCCTTGTCCAGACCCGCACATCCTGCCTGATTCAAGAGGTCCTGGTCAGGAAGACGACCCGTTGGCCAGCTGTTGCCTTCTGTCACAGAAGACGGAATGGTCCAGGCAGCTGCCAGCCTGGGCAGGCAACATGCCCAAGCCCTGGCTTGAGTTCCACAGAAGCCTGGTCCACTCTGGGAAAGCTGGGAGGCACTGTGGATCTGAACTAAGCCCAGTGTGGGGAGAAGGAGGGAAACAAGCTCTCTTTGAAGAAGAAGTATGAGAGGACTGCCAGCCTTCCTGGGCCAAGAATCTGCCCAGCCAAGTTAAAGTGAGAAGGAAGGAAAGAGCCAGATTCTTGGAAAACCTAGTACTATCTTCCTCTACAACATTGCTATCCAGTATTTAGCGATTAGGTAGGTCTGCAGTAGGGCTCTAGAGTCTGAATTTTTAATGTGTGCTTTTAGGTGATTCAATGCAGATGATCCAAGAATCCCATTTTATAAATTTAAGGGTGTGAGATCTGGACTTATTCTCCAGTTTTGTACCCTGACTCCATTTCTAGATTTGTGACCTTGGACAAGTGTTATCACTCTGTGCCTCAGTTTCCTCATCTTTAAGACAAGGATGCTTACACTAGTTGCTATAAAGATTCAATGACATGATTTGTGTCAAGCACACTGCACATGCATGGCTCATGTTAATTTCTCAACAAGTATTTACCATTATTATTTGTTCCAATTCCTCATTCCCATCCCCACCCCTCTCCCACCAGAAGAAGACATAATAGTATTGGATTGATACAGGGATTTGTCACCGCAGTACTGTTTGGGATGTGGGTGATCTTTGGGCTGTGCTTTGAGGATTCCTACTCCAAAGCCATTCTCCTCCTGTCACTCTTCTGATACCCTGGCTGTGGACTGAGCTTCTTCCAGTAAACCTATCCTGACTTTCTTCTCTTCCTTTCCTCCTTGATCCTTCTCTCATTTGGCAAGCCATCCCTTCAAAAGTTATTTGGCTCAGCATATGTCCTAGAAGGTAACACCAAACAGCAAGTCAGTTGTGGGGCAGCATAGACCTCCAGATTCCTGAAGAAGACCACAGAATCTGTTACTCTGGGGCTTGTGAGTAAGCTTCAGAGGCAGAAGGGAAACAGAAGCTCTTTTTAAAAAAATATATATTTTTATTGATTTTTTACAGAGAGGAAGGGAGAGAGATAGAGAGCTAGAAATGTCAATGAGAGAGAAACACTGACCAGCTGCCTCTTGCACACCCCTTACCGAATCGAACCTGGGACCTTTCAGTCCGCAGACTGATGCTCTATCCACTGAGCCAAACTGGTTTTGGCGGAACAGAAGCTTTTGCTACCCAGGTTCTAACCATGGAAGCCTGCTGGGAAACAGACATCCTGTGCAAAGGTATGGTTGAAGCCCATGGGGAGTGGTGAGCAAAGGAAGCTCTGTTCTGTACAAATTCCTGCAGGCACTTCCAACTCTGCATGGCATCTCCAAGTGACCAGAAGCAGAAAGGGAATGGGGGAAGTAAGGATGGCATGAAATAATTCAACCAAGGACACAAAAGGAAAGCCGAGGAAGTCGACTTTCAAACACAGTCGGTGTGCTAGTTTTTGAAGGTCAGAGACCAGGTCTCACCTGGGATGCGGAGAAAAGCAGGGTCAGCTATCCGAGCGTCTCCTCCCAGTCACTCGGCCCCCCTGAGACCACTGTTTCCTGCCTCCCACTGTCCGACCAGTGCAGCTGAAATAGAGAACCCCTGGACGTGCTAACGGAAAGGATGGAGACATTCTTCCCGAAGAAAAAACGGGCAAATCTGGGTTTGGCTCCAGCGTGGCCCACAATGTCCTTACCAACTGATACTCCCCAGAACTCCCAGGTCCAAAGCAGATTTGTATCCACCTTATTAGCCAAGGGCACCATATAGCATGTCATACCTGCAACGTTCTGACATCCTCCCCAACAAACACACACACACACACACACACACACACACACACACACACGTACGTACGTACGTACGTCGCCAGATAAGAGTACACCAAGTTAAACTTGAATTTCAGGTTAAATTTTTAATTTAAGTATGTCCCAAATAGTGCATTGGCTCATGCTTATTCTAAAAAAAAAAATTATGCGTCGTTAATCCGATACTCATTTAACTGTATTTTTATTTGCTAAATCTAGCAACCTTACCCAATTTACCTGCAGAATGTGCCTCATCCGGGCTCACCACAGGACTTCGCTGGACACCTGTGGCTTGTTTTGGCTTTAGCTGAGCATCTTCGTTACTGTCTAACCCTCTAAAGCTCTGTGAAGGGAAGGCCCAGGCCTTGTCCTCAACCTCTGGCGCTCCGTTCCAGGAAAGGACTCTCTTTGTTGATGTACACAAGGGCATCTGTGGAGAGGAGATGGGCAAAGAAATCCATTCTCAACTCTACGCCCCAGCGGAGTCCTGGCACGGGGCTGTGCCATTGAAAGGCGCCTTTTCCTCATTGGTCTGCCAGAGGAGCATCTGTTTCTAATTGGTTCGTCCAGGAGGCGTGACCCCTTTTCATTGGTTGGGTGGGAAGTGGGTGGGACCTATTCTAATTACTCCACCCACCAGACCGCCTGTTTCAGAGGAAGGCTGTCTAATCAAAGAGGGGCCCTGGAAAAATTCCTCCACCAGAGTGGCATCTTTTTCTAAATAACAAAACCATTCTATGTACTAATAAACTTTCTGAGGCCCTACGCCTTAGGATAAGAACACTTCATTCCATTTGCTTACCACTTTATGGGTTCCAAATGACTTTTACATCTAGCAACTCATTTAATCCACACAACTCCGAGAGGTGGGTATCACGGTGTCCTTTGCATGTTACAGACTGAGACGAGGAGACAGCAACCTGCTTGCCGTTACGGAGGCAGATGAGGAAAACAGTTTACTTTTGCTCAGCACGAGTTTAGCTACGGCCTCCACGGGAATCATTTCATTCCACCTTTACTACCACGGCGTGGGATCCGTAAAAGCCAGGCGGCACTTTGCACTCATTCTCTCTTTTAACCTTCCTGCAACGCCAGACACTAAATACCATTTGCTCCCATTTTACTGATGAGGAAACTGACGCTCCAAGTTCGTGGTTAAATCAATCCTTTTGCGAAAAGTCCACAGTGCTTTGCAAGCTACCATTTAATAAATGCGTTCTTAATGCCAGCAAGGTGCCAAGCTACTTGCAGGCATTCTTCTCTCATCAAATGTTCCCTACAATGACATGGTTCCGCCTGGTATTATTATCCCTGGTTAGTGATGAGAGAAATGATTCAGAGAAGGCTTACCCAGACCACACAGCGAGCAGGTAGATTGAGGCAGGATTCATACTGCTAGCCAAAAGAAAAAGAAAAAAGCAAAGCCAAGACCGGTTTGGTTCAGTGGATAGAGCATCGGCCTGCAGACTGAAGGGTGTGCAGGAGGCAGCTGATAGATGTTTCTCTCTCATCGACGTTTCTAACTCTCTGTCCCTCTCTCTTCCTCTCTGTTAAAAAAAAATCAATAAAATATATATATAAAAAAAAAATAGAGCAGGAACTCAAATTAAATTCTTCTGACCCGGCCCAAGGCTCCTTCCTTCTCTCTCCAGGTCCTTGCTCCCTGCCAGCCTGGCTGAAACAATCCATGAGCCTCAGATACAAGACTCTTTTACCCCGCCTCCCCAGGGCGATCTGCATCCACTCGAGGGGGCAGGCGGGCGGACGGGCGGGAGACTGGGGTCCGCAGGGCGCAGCAGGCACCGGGCGAGGCGTGCAGCCGGAGGAGGAAACTTCGGAACCCCGCGTTCCAGCAGCGGAGCGGGGTGGGTGTGGCCGGAGCCGGGCTCCCGCCCCTCCTCCCGCCCTTCCTCCCTCGCCTTTTAGGTCTCGGGGCCCGCAACCCACTGAGCAGACACCGCCGGAGCTGCACCTCCTCCGGCTCCGGGCGAAGGGTCCCCGAGGAGCGGCTCAGCCCCGGGCGCCCTCCCCCTGGGTGCCGGGCGGCGCGAACCCGCAGCGTCGGAGGAGCCCGGCGGGCGGCTTCCCCGCGCCCCACCCGCGCCCCGCGGAGATGGCTGCGCGCGCGGGGCTCCTGCTGCGCGCCCTGCCGCTGCTGCTGTGGGGCGGCCTGGGCGCCCGGCCCCCGGGGCGCGCGGGCCGGGAGCTGCGCCGGGAGGCGGAGGTAAGGGGCGTGTGCGGGCCGCGGAGGTCCGCGTGCGGGAGGGGGAGCCGCCAGAACTGCGCATTCGGGCCACCCGCCCGCCCCTCCGCGCTGGCACCCTGCTCTGTCCTCTCCCTGTCCCCGCGCCCTCCGCCCGGGCACACAAAGAGCCCGGGGCAGCATTCTCCCCGGCTTGGGGCGGGGACCACACAGGCACGCGGGTCTGCACGGCTGTTCCCGGACCTGTTCCCGGACGGGGAAGGAGGGAGAGACAGGCAGGAGCGCAGAGAGAGGCAGCCCTCTGCCCCTCGCCACCTAAGCCGGGGAGGCATGGCGTTCATTCATCCGAAACCCGTCAAACACGGCGGAGAGGATACCGCTCACTGGGCGGGGACACCGGCGACAGAACCGGCTTTCCTAAGCGGCTTGTAACAGGGTGAGCGTATTCCACCACCATCCAGAGCTGCTTCTGAGGAGCTCTAAGCCGTGCTCCTGGAAGAGGGGGCAGGAAGGTGGCGATGAGCCTTAAACATTCCCATTTTCAGTTTCCTCCTTCGGACTCAGCTGCTTGCTGTAGGTTGCATAAGCGAGAACTTTTTGTGAGGTGAGAGTGGGGGTGGGCTTGGGACATCTATTTTCTAGATTACGGTGATTGTAGCAATACACAGGTGTCTCATCTTTTCTTTTCTTCTTTTCTTTCTTCTTTTCTCTCTCTCTCTCTCTCTCTCTCTCTCTCTCTCTCTCTCTCAAAAGAATACAGAAGTGCTTCTTTGGGAAAGAAAGAAAGAAAGAAAGAGGGAGGGAGAGAGGGAGGGAGGGAGGGAGGGAGGGAGGGAGGGAGGGAGGGAGAGAGAGAGAGAGAGAGAGAGAGAGAGAGAGAGAGAGAGAGAGAGAGAAATGGATGTGAAAGAGACACACGTACCCTTTCGACCACGGCCCTCACTCTAACTACTGAGAAGCCCCACCAGGACTCTGTGTTCTTAGCTCTTCACAGAAATAGATCTGGGGTTGCCACTATTTTAAGGCAAAGAGATGCAAATAACTTCTAAATTACCGAGCCCAGCACTCTGCCCTGAGACGTGCCCACCTAAGAGCATCTTTCCTGCTCTACAGCTGCCAGTTTAGAGCTTCTCAGTACCCTCACCCCCTTTCCTGGAAGGGGCGGGCTTTCCTGGAAGGAATTTGGGAAAGTGGAGGAGGGCCCACAGCCGGCTTCTGTCGCTGCTCGGGAATATCTGGGAATGACTGCGCTTTAACAAGAAGGTCCTTTCTCAAACTCCCTGCCCCTGTCCCCTTCCAAGCACTGGTCTCTTGCTCTGTGTTCTCTGCTTCTGGACATTTAAGAATCATTTTGTTCTCTGAATTTAGAATCTTACAACATCAAGTGCAAAGTCCTTGTGGCCCCAGGAGAAAGCTTCTGTCTACCAAGCCAAGTCCTGTTAAGAGTCCCCCATCACCAACTCCCCCCCTCCTGTCCAGGTCCTGGGCGATCCTTGGCAGGAGAATAGAGACAACAGCTCAGCCGCTCATGCCTGTGGAGGCCTCAGATGGAGAGAATTTCATCCTGGGAAATGTAATATCTAACAGATTGAGTCTCTTTCCGTCTATTTAACATAATTGCGGTAAAGGGGATTTTCAACTCTGAAAACAAGAAATATTTTAAAAGCATAAAGACTCCGGAAATGTGTAATGGGTGCATAGTGTCTCCATATGCCTATGCCTGTACATACGTATGTTGTACATATATAAATTGGGATGTGTATGTGCATGTGTGATGTCGGTACGACTAGATGTGTTTCTGTGTATGGTCAATTGCATGGTCTTTGGTGACAGACAGACCTGTGTGCAAACCATAGGTTTAACCTCTGTGAACCTGTTTTCTTCTCTGTGCAATGGGGTTAATAATGCCTGTTTCACAAGATTATTGTGTGGTTTTATTGAGATCCCTAGTTCCTAGAAAGTAGTTTATGAAAGGAAGTTGCTGTCAATGTTGTTAGTATCATCATTATTTTAGAGAACAGAGACTCAGATTAAAGCCCTGGCTTGGTGACTAGCTCTCCTAAAACAATGACAAAATGCACAAGGAAACTATTTTCAGCATTGGACAACAGATAGCACAGCGCTGTAATTCTCAGACGGTGTTGCTTTTACGATGGCTACATTACACATAACTCCAAAACTTAGAAAAGTAAAAGCCATTTACTATGCCCATTGGTGCCATGGTTCAGAATTCAAACAGCACATCAGGGCAGCTTGTCTCTGCTGTGCAGCATCTGGAGGTGGGATCGTCTGAAGGATGCTTACTCGTCTACCTGGTAGTTGATGCTTGCTGTCAGCAGGGCCTCAGTTCCTCCCCATTCGGGCCTATCCACAGTGTCTCTTCATGTGGGCTAGTTTGGGCTGCCTCAAAACATGGAGGCAGAGTCTCCAAGATAAGTGTTCTGAGAAGTAGAAAGGGAGACAGACAGACAGACAGACAGATAAGCAAAAGAAGCTGTGCCCTTCTTAGGGCCTAGACTGGGAAGTTAGGCATAATCACACCTGCTGGATCAGTCACAAACCCCCCAGGTCAAGGGGAGGCAACATGGTCCCCACAATCGGTGGGAGGAGTGCTGAAGTCACGTTGTGAAAAGAGCATGGAAATGGAAATGTCACGGTCATTTAGGGAAATACAACCATTGCAGAACGGAACGCACAAAGTAAGCCCCATGATCACTCCGGCTCTCTGCTCAGGTACAATCCCCTGACCTCGGTGCAGGGAGCTAGACCCCAGGAGAGCATAGCAGTCCTACTGAGCCCATGGACAGAGGCCAGGTTGCAGAACATAGACGGAAAGAAATAATAAAAACAGACGGCGTGATCTTAACACATTGCGGACGGATCATGGGAATTCTCACTTCTTATTACACAGTGTTTTACGAAGTGTTCTACTTTAAAAAGATATTAGCCTGTAAGGACATGTAATAAATAACTTCAAAATGCAATAGGTATTTAACTTTAAAGCGTGCCTTTAACATTTATGTAAAACGTTTTTTGTGCTCGTTCAATAGAAACCTACCTGGCCACTGGGCAAAGCCAGCAACACAACTCCCGGTCCGCAATGTGTTATTTCCTTCACTTCTCCAGGCTGCAGTTTCCTCTGGAAAATAAGGGAGTTAATTTCATTTAAATGGTTTAAATGACTTTTTAGGTTTTCTCTAGCGCTAACATTGGCTTTGGTGTGATTGGTGTACATTTCATCTGCCTGTGTGTCCATGCCTGTGTTCCCATGTCTCTGTGTGCATGGCTGTATGTGTCTCCTGTGTGCACTCAAAGTAATAAAACTGAGGGCTTTCCGGAATGGGCTTTGGCTGGGAGGAGACTGACTGCTCACAAAGCTGCATTATGAACAAGGTCATTGTCACCCACTTAGCAGAACTAGGGCTGCTCACACACTGGTGGGTGGGAAGGGCCTCCACTGCCCAATTGCGAGACTGAGGGTTAATGAATGACATCATCATCCTGGCTTCATTCTCATTCTCAGCGGGGCCCTACTCTGTTCTTGGGTGACAGACTATCCCAAGGGATCTATCTACCGTGTTTGGCTCAGACCTTCCTTAGAACCACAAGGCAAGTATGTGCAGGACCTGCCTTCCACGCGGTGGTGGTCTGCGCAGATCGGCACAGCCACTCCCAGGGTGGCGCACTTCAGGAGCTGGGGAGTTGGTTTCTCCAGGGAAACATTGGCGCTTCTGTGAAGTATCCACCCCCAGATGCAGTGTCTGCTTCTCATAGCCCAGAGCCATTTATCTGACTTCGTGTGAGTCAGAAACTCAGAAGCCCGGGTGTGGGAGCCATTTCCAAGGGCTCAGCTCAGTGACTCATGGGTACAGGGTGAATGGAAGTACAGGAGACACTCTGAAGGGTCCCAGAGAAGCAGGAGTTGGTGGGAAAGCAGTTGCCAAGCCAGCTTGAGAACCAAGAAATCTAGTACGGAGGCCCTAGCTGGTTTGGCTCAGTGGATAGAGCGTCAACCTGCGAACCGAAAGGTCCCAGGTTCGATTCTGGTCAAGGGCACGTACCCAAGTTGCAGGCTCCTCCCCATCCCAGGCCCTGGTCAGAGAGTATGCATCCTGGAGTCAAATGTTTGTCTGTGTGAAGAAACATGCTTTGGTCCTGTTACATACCTCTGGCTGGTCAGAGGACTGGGTTGGGATGCGATGGGATGTGATTCCAGACTCTACTGGTAGCCACAGCCCGAGCAGCTTCTTCCCTCCGCTCTGCCCCGGGCCTGCCTGCAGAGGAGACAGAAGGGAGCCGGGGAGAAAGAGCCTAGTTCTGCCTTCTTCTTCTTTGAGGGCTGTCTCCGCCGTGGGGAGGGCAGCTTGGCTCTTGCTCCTTCACTTTGAAAGCCTCTGAGTCACTTGTTAAAATGTGCAGGAAAACATCCTGGAGAGGTGTTGGACTCACATACTGGCTCTGTCCCTCACTACGACCTTTAAAAAAAAAAAAAAAAAAAAAAAAAAAAAAATATATATATATATATATATATATATATATATATATATATATATATATATATATATATATATATATATTGATTTTTTTACAGAGAGGAATAGAGAGTTAGAAACATGGATGATGTGCCAGCAACCAAGGTACATGCCCTTGACCGGAATCGAACCCTGGACCTTTCAGTCCGCAGGCTGACGCTCTATCCACTGAGCCAAACCAGTTTCGGCTCACTAAGACCTTTTACCAATGTACTGCACTCCTCGGAGACTTACTTTCTTCATCTTTAAAACGGAATAACAGCCCTGGCCAGTTGCTCAGTGGTTAGAGCATTGGCCTGTGCACCAAAGGGTGCAGGTTTTGGCCCCAGGCACGATGTGTGCGGGAGGCAACCAGTTGATGTGTCTCTCTCACAGTGATGTCTCCCTCTCTTTCTCTCACCCCTGTCCACCTCTCTTCCAGTGTCTCTAAAAGCAATGAAAAATTTAAAAATCCTTGGGTGAGGATTGACTAAAATAAAATAAGAATAAGCCCGGCAGGTGTGGCTCAGCAGTTAAGCATCAACCGAGGACCCAGGAGGTCATGGTCAAGGCCCCCAGAAGAGGGCTGGCCAGAGGCAGCCAATGGATGGTTCTCTCTCTCTCCCTCTCCCTTTCTCTCTGAAATCAAGACAATCGATTAAATAAGTAAATATAAAATAAAATGGGAATAATAACCCCTGGCCTCTGTTCTTACAAGGTGTTTGTGATGCTCGAAGGCATAATCCCCTTAAAAACTCTGAAATAGCCAAGCACTCACTGTGCTCTTGATTACCCGAAAACAGCTTTATTCATAGGACGTGCAAGGCAGAACACCAACAATCATCCCTCGAATCTTGACTCGGCTAATCATGCAAAAGATGTATTAAATGATAAAACACAGTCACGTAGCGTCACTTTGAAAAGCCTAAAATCATAATGAACATAAAATGAGCTGGAATAAATCATAGATAAAGCAACATGGTTTCTCTATGAACTTGCCATTTTGCAATTTTTAAATTTCTGGGCTCTTTTTTTTTTTTTTAATTGATTATGGTATCACATAATTGTCCTCATCCCCTTCTGAGCTCATTTTTGCTGCCGGGATTCTTTGATATGGAGAGTGTCACAGCCACTCTGTGGACTTGAGACTGGGAGCTGGCCCCTCCTAGACTTCCAGCAATAAAGCTCTGTGACTATAGAGGGGAAAATAATGTTTTGTTTTTTATATATATTTTTATTGATTTCATAAAGGGAGAGAGAGAGAAACATCAATGATGAGAATCATTGATTGGCTGTCTCCTGCATGCCCCCTTCTGGGCATGTGCCCTTGACCAGAATCGAACCCAAGAACCTTAAGGCCACAAACTGATGGTCTATCCCCTGAGCCAAACCGGCTAGGGCAGGGAAAAGAATGTTTTCAATGGGACAATTATCCCAAAGCACCTTCTTACTGGATTTTCATGATGCTCCTGTGAGAAACATAAGCAGTACTCTTACCCCCATTTTAGACTTTGGGGCACAGAGAGGCTAAGTAATAGTGTCATAGATCACACAGAAGCAAAGCTACAATAATAGACAGACCTGGAGTATATCTTAGCTCTAATCCGACTCTCTCGTTTTACAAAAGAGGAACCTAAGGCCCAGAAAGGTGCAGGGCTCACCCAAGCACACATAGCTAGCAGCAGCCCCAGGAATAAAACTCAAGACACTCAGCCCAACCAGTGAAGCTCAGTGGTTGAGCCTCGACCTATGAACCAGGAGGTCACGGTTCAATTCCTGGTCAGGGCACATGCCTGGATTGTGGACTAGATCCCCAGAGTGGGGTGTGCAGGAGGCAGTTGATCAATGATTCTCTCTCATCATTGATGTTTCTATCTCTCCCTCTTCCTTTCTTAAATCAATACAAATATATATATATGTATTATTATTATTTTTTTTTAATGAGACTCAGCCCAGTACTGTTGTCCTGCCAGGCCAGTGACTCAGAGTTCCTGACTCAGCCCTGGATTCGTTTTGCTAACCCTTATTGCTTGTCTTGCCCTGGCCAGAATAGCCCCTTCCCTCAGGCATCAGATGGGCTGGGACCCACACACCCTGTCATGACAAGTCAGGACGAATGCAGGGCTAGAACCCCCGGCGCTCTGATTCCACGGAGCTCTCTGGGCTCCAGGGGGAACCATTCTTGTTTTACCCAAACATCCCAGCCACGCCCAGGGCTTTCCAGAGATGACTCCCAGGAAAGCGGCCCCAGCCACCACCAGGAGGGTGAGGCAGGTTGGCACCAGCTTTTAAACCCAGGCAGGTGAATCACCAAGGGCACGGCCTTAGGGCTTCCTCTCCATGCAGCTCCAGGGGAGCGAGAATTGCCAGGCAGAGCAGAGCGGGCCGGGTGCTGCCTCCATGAAGAGGGGCAGGAGGCCAGGGCTGGGGCTCAGGGCGTCCCTGGGAGGACACAGGCCCCAGTAACACTGCCGCCTGGAAGGGAAATGATGCCTCTGAGGCGGTTCGTGTGGAGCTGAGATGAAAACGAGAGCTCCGCCTCTCAGGCCTGCCCCCCTTTCCCAGGATCCCTGTGCCTCGGTGTCCTCTGCCCCACACCCTGCTCTGATGCAGACAGGGACGTTTCTCGCACCTTTGCAGGGGAAACTGAGGCACGGCAAATGGGTTAGGGGCGGCTGCAGGAGCAGAGGTGCCTCAACCCTGCCTCCTCCTCACCAGGGACATAGGTCTGCCCCCCTCGACAGAGCAACAGAGCACTCAGCTCAGGCAGTATTCAGGAGACCCTTTCTGTAATGAAAAGCACTTTAATTAGAGGAATAGTAAACAGGAAATAAGTGTAAGAGGGTTCTTTGTTGTTGTTGTTGTTGTTGTTGTTAATTCTCCCCCAAGGATATTTTCCCATTTATTTTTTTTAAAAAGAGCGAGTAAAGGGGACAATAGAGACAGAGAGAAACATCGATATGAGAGTGACATCCATTGCTTGCCTCCTGCATGCGACACCCCAACCCGGGCCAGGATTGAGACCGCATCAGAGGTACAGTACCCTTGACCGGAATCGAACCCGCAACCCTTTGGTCTGCAGGCCCATGCTCTAGCCACTGAGCCAAACTGTCTAGGGCTATAAGGGAGTTTTTAAGTCCTGCTAATCTCCATGATAATACTTCAGGGCTTTTGTGGAAATACAAAATGTCAAGTTCTTGAGATTTCTCTCCCTCATTCTTTTGGTGTCTGTTGGCTCGCGTGAACACAGGCTCACTGCTCCCCGGGAATTCGGCTATGCCTGGCAGCCCGCAGGGTCCCAGAGGCAGGCAGGAGAAAGGACTTCTCAGGAGTCCTCCTATGGACCCTTGAAAAAAACACCTCCACCCCCATCCTGCCCTCCACCCACCGTGCCTGCCAAAGCACCAGGCATGGGCCCAGCCAGGAAACAGGAGACGCCGCTGCTCGTCCATTTCCCCTCCCTTCTCCCCCTCTGTCCAAGGTTTCCTAGCTCCAGACCTGGAGCCAACTCCCTGATAAGGGCTGGGTGGGTTTGGGGGGAGAGGCACAGGGAGTGCCAGCCCGTTGGCCTGTGACCCAGTCTCCTCCAAATCACTCACTCAGCAAAACTGCTTCTGCGGACACACTCACTCCCTGGCTTCCGGTAAAAAGCCGCGCCCTCTCCATCCTCACCAGGGGAAAGGGAAGAGGCGAGGAAGAGAGCCAGGCACCTGGCTGGGCGAGGCGCTCCTGGGATGGAGCACCTGCCCGGAGAACGGAGGTGTCACTGCCTCATTCAAAGCAGTTCCCATTCTCACAGATGGGCTGCATTCCGAAAGCCTGTTGCTAGTTTTCCCTGTACGTTAAACCAGCCAGATAAACTGTTTATTGAGCATGAACTATAGCAGGCACGATGCTGGACGCGCACTGCTTTATTTAATCCTTCTGAGAATCCTGCGGGGGGGCAGGGGGGTACCCTTGTTCTCACATTGTGGCTGAGGAAGTGGAGGCCCAGAGAGGTGACGTCATCTGTCCCTGGCCACCCAGCAGGGTCAGGGTTGGGAACGGATTCTGGATTCCAAGCCCAGTGGTTATTCCATGATGCCATACTATTTTGAGCCGTAAATAGTCTTCCAGATTAAGCCACAAAAACTCCCTTAATCCATTATGCATCCCAAAATAGTGTGCTCGTGAAAAGGGAAAACAGAAAATAGGGCTGAAAGTCTAATGAGTTAGGGCAGGAAAACAATAAAGCAGGCTTGGGGAGTGTTCTGTGGTCCAGAATAAGGGCTCCTTATGGGAAGTGGCTTTAACGAGAGGAGGACGCGGAGGTAGCTAAGGACGGATGTAATGAAATCCACCAAGAGGAGGCTGGATGCTGGCAAAGGCTTAGGGGCTTGGGGTCTGGCTCAGTGTCTAGTTTCCTTCCCAATTGCTGCCTTTTTCTCGAGGCAGCAGCTATGGCTGGAGTTGACCTGAGTGAAGAAATGCAGCAAAGGCCCTGGCCGTCGTCCCGTACACCAAGAGGTTGCGGATTTGACTCCGGGTCAGAGCACATTACTGGGGTGCAGGTTTGATCCCTGTCAGGGCAGGTACAGAAGACATCAATTGATGTTTCTCTCTCACATCTCTTTCTCGCTCTCTCTCCCTCTTTCTCAAAATCAATAAACAGCCCAGCTGGTGTGTCTCAGTGGTTGAGCATTGACCTATGAACAAGGAGGTCACGCTTCAATTCCCAGTCAGGGCACATGATTGGCTGCCTCCTGCACTCCTCCCATGGGGGACCAAGCAGGAGGCAGCCAATCCATGATTCTCTCATCATTGATGTTGCTATCTCTCCCTTTTCCTTCCTCTCTGAAATCAATAAAAGATTAAAAAATTTTAAAAATCAATAAACGTCCTTGGGTGAGGATTTAAAAAAAAAAATGCAACAAATACAAGTGAGTAAAAGAACAGGGAAGACAGAAAGTGATTTCTGTAACATAGCAAGGAGGGGTAAAAATTGAGAAACAACGTGTCTACGTGAGAATTAAGCAGCCCGGTGACATTTTAAAGAACCCATTCCTGCAGCTTCATCAGTGAGAAAGGCAAGCAGGGAGCCAAGTACAGTGACACCCCCCCCCCCCTCAGGTGACCGGTAAGGACAATGAATCACACACTTCTCTCCAGCGGCTGCTGAGAGAGCGGCTTCCCGGGTGGGCGGCAGTGAGTAAAAGGCATGTGGGGGATGGAGTGTTCTCCAGCCCCACAGCTTCCCATCACCCACGTGCTGAGATTCCAGCTTCTCCTCTGAGCTCCAGGATCACACAGCCAGCGCCAACGGACCTCATCAGAGTTTATCTTAGTCACACACACACACACGCCCCGTTTTTCCTTCAGGCTTTCTCATACAGTAAATGGCATCATCTTCTAAGGCAAACACGTAGGAGCCATCCTGGATTTCTTCCTTTCTTTCATTCCCCACCATTAACCCACCAGGAAAATGCAAATAAAACTCACATTTCTTACCCTGACGGACAGTTGGCCTGCCTCTGATGTCATCACGTTTCCTGCGGCTTCACGTGAACCCACTGCCCCAGCCCTCCTTCTGTGCCGCAAACAGGCAACGTCCTTCCTAGCTCAGCCTTTGCATTTGCTGCTCCCTCTGCCCAAACCCCCTTTCCCACCTTGGTGCAAGGCTAGCTACTTCTCATTCTCTCCAAATGTTTGTATTGATTTTTAGAGAGAAAGGAAGGGAGAAGGATAGAAACATCAATGAGGAACATCATCCCAAGGCTGCCTCCCGCACGCCCCCTACTGGGGATCCAGCCTGTAACCTGGGCATGTGCCCTGACAGGAAATCAAACCGGTGACCTCTTGGTTCCTGGGTCAACTCTCAACTGCTGAGCCACACTAGCCAGGCATGTCTCATTCTTTAGGACACTCACATCGAATATCAGCTCTTCAGAGGGCCTTCCCTGACCTCCTCATGTAAAGTGTCTAAGTTATTCTCAATCACATCATTCCATTTCTTTTCTTTATAGCATCAAACGTTCTCCTTTATTTGCTATCTGCACTTTTATTGTCCCCATCCACAAGTGTACATATAGGTTCCTTTAAGAGTGTCTTGTTGACTCATGCACCTGGCAATGTACCTAGTACACTGTATGAATAATCAAACAAATGAATGAAAGGAAGTTGCAGGTTTCGAATTCAAACAGTGCTTCTCTAGAGAGTTAAGGTTTCGTATAAACCATAGGGTTGAAGGTAAGGCCATTGTTCTTAAATATATCTGCGTTCGGGAGGAGGGCAATTGTTTAGGGAGTAGCCAGCATTAGGTAATTAACTCCCAATCCATGCTTGGCAGAGCCTGCAGGGGATCAGCTCAACTCCTGACCAACCCCGAAATGTTCCTAAAGAGATGGCAGGTGTCAGGAGAAGAGTTGAGGCATATCGATCATGTATGTTTACATAAAGTTATAATAGCTGTCCTGCATGGAGCCCGTGCTAGGTGAGAGGTACTGTGGTAAGTACTTTATATTTACTGTTGTGATTCATTCACACACACACACACACCCTGTAAAGCAGGTACTATTTCTAAATCCACGTTACAATTGAGAAACCAGTGATTGAGGGCAGTAGCTTGCTAACTGGGATTCTAAACCAGGCAGGCCTGACTCCAGAGCCCATAACTCTACAGTCCGCTGATAATGCCATGCGACACTCAGGGCAGGGACTGCGTGGCCAGTGTTAGGAATAAAGAAGCTAAGGTTCAAGCATAATGAGTGACTTGCTCAAGACCATCAGCTAGCGGTTGGTGGCCTGGGACGAAGTCCAAGTCCTGACTCTGATGCCAAAACCCTTTCTGCTGTAGCTCATGGACCCTGTTGGGATGAGGGGTGAGTCCAGGCACGATGCAGGTGCCAAGGACACTTGGAGGTCACAGGAAGAGAAAGGATGCCACACAGTGGGAAAGGCTGATGCTCCTCTCTCCCCCAGGCATTTCTGGAGAGGTATGGCTACCTCAGTGAACAGGCCCCCGGAGCTCCCTCCTCCACAAGACTCAGCAATGCCATCAGGTAGGATGGAGGGGCGTGAGGGTTTGGCAGTGCTGGATATACGCTTAGGTCATCTCCTCCCTCCTGGGGGAGGGCTGCCCCCATGTGGGTCCAGGGTGCCATGCTCCATTGTTCCTCCCCACAACAGCCCACTCCCACCCGCCCCAGCCTCCTGCTGTATCCAGGGAAGTTCCCTGCTCTCACCACCCACCCTCCCTTTGTGGTCCTTTATCTCAATTCCTCCCCACAGGGAGTTCCAGTGGGTGTCCCAGCTGCCCATCAGTGGCGTCCTGGACCCCGCCACCCTCCACCAGATGACACTGCCCCGCTGTGGGGTGGCGGACACTGACGGCCAGGCAGCCCGGACCGAGCAGGTCAGCGCCCTGTTTGCCGGACGCCGGGCCAAAATGAGGCGCAAGAAACGCTTTGCAAAGCAAGGTGAGCACCGTGGCCACCTAGCCAGGACGGGATTCCCCACCATCCGGGCCCCACGGCCAGAAAAAGGGCTCCGCCTCGGCCTGGGCTGTGTCCATAACCTCGTCCCTGGCGTGGGGGCGGGAAGCACAATGGGACCTGAGGACCATGTTTGTGAACAAAGACATTTACATCAGTTTGATTTTGTCCATAGTACATTTTCAGCAGCTTGATTGGACTATAACTCATAACCAATACAATTCACCCGTTGAGAGCCTACAGTCCAGTGGCTTTTAGCATATTTGCAGAATTGTGCAACCATCATCACAATGCAATTGCAGAACATTTTCATCACCTCAAGCAGAAACCCATGCCCCTCCCCCAGCTCCTAGCAGCCATGAATCTACTTTCTATCTCTGTGGATTTGCACATTTTAGGCATTACACTTCCTCCTGTTATGATTTAATTGTGGGTTTGTTTTTTTTTTTTTTCCTTCCCTTCACTTCTTCCTCCTTCTTTGGCCAAATCCAGTCTTCCAGGGTCAAAGGTTACTGATCTAAGATTTGTAAGGATTTTATTCTCCTGTCCATTCTTCATCAGTAACAAGTTTTGCAGTTTACTAAGTCTAATTTCCTCTGGTCACCTTCTGCCGTTTTCAAGATTCGGGATTGTTTAGTCAGCTTTTTACCTGGAATGAATTTTACTGTGAGCCCTTCGGGCGATAGTCTCTTTGAATTTGCAGTAACTACTTTTACCCACCGTGTCCATTAGGAACCAGGCCAGAAGGCACATAGTTTGTTTTTATTTCTTAGCTAACCCCAAAGGAAATGGAGGGCATTTCCCCTCAGCTGCTGGAGGATGGCCATTTCCAGGTATTCGCCGATCCAGTTCAGCTGTGTCTACACTCCCAGCTGCCCCGGGTCTCCGGTGCTGACACGGTGTCCTGGGCAGCAGAGGAGAAGGACCAGGCCTGAGCACAGGAGGCCCTGGCAGAGCAGGAAGAGCGACATTCCTGGGGCACAATGGGACCTGAGCTGTGTGACCTGAGCTGAGTTACTTTGCTGTTTCCTCATCTGAGACACAGGCCCTTTAAGGATGCAAAGGAGAGATGAGTTCTGATAACCCAGGGGAGGGGGCTCGCCCTGGCCAGTGTGGCTCAGTTGGTTGGCGCATTATCCCATATATGGAAAGGGGGCAGGTTGGATTCCCTGTCAGGGCACATGCCCAGGTTTCAAGCTGGAATCCTAGTAGGGAACCTGCAGGAGGCAGCTGATCAATGTTCTATTCCCACATTGATGTTTCTCTCTCTCTCTCTCTCTCTCTCTCTCTCTCTCTCTCTCTCTCTCTCTCTCCCTCTCCCTCTCCCTCTCCCTCTCCCTCTCCCTCTCCCTCTCCCTTTCCCTCTCCCTTCTTCTCTCTTTAAAATTAATTTTAAAGGAAGGGGGGGGGCAGAGATTGTGAGAATACAGCAGAAAGGGGGGCAGCCCCAGACACAGACTCAGCAATAACACTTCCAGGCTAGATTCCATGGAGATTTGGGATGATGCTTCCTGGATGGTCAGGGCATGACTTGAGCACTCAGGATGCTTCCTCCCAGCAGCACCTCATCTTCTCATGTGCCAAGGGAGAATTTGATGGAGTGTCTGTTGGTCACTGTCCAATTTGGAGCATCCCTTTTATTTTATTTTAAAAACTATATATTTTATTGATTTTTAGAGGAAGGGGGAGGGAGAGAGGGATAGAAATATCAAGGATGAGAGAGAATCATTGATTGGCTGCCTCTTGCACGCCCCCTATTGGGGATCAAGCCCGCAATCCAGGCATGTGCCCTTGGCCGGAATAGAACCTGGGACCTTTCAGTCTGCAGACTGACACTCTATCCATTGAGCCAAATCAGCCAGGGCTGGAGCATCCCTTTTAGATAGAGATTTGGGCTAAGGCGCCTCTCATGCAGGCGGCTGCCCCCCACCAGCCTCGCCCCATTTCCTTGTCTGACCCCTGGTCCAGACGGCCGGGTTAGACAGAGAATTTCCCTCTCGGTCACAACATGACTTCACTTCCTTTCCTCCCTGGGTGGGGAGGTAGTCCCTGGATTCTAGGGCCTAGAAGGAAGTTGTAGGTTTGGCAGGCACTGAGCCTTTCCTAAGCCTTAGGAAAGAAAGTGTAATAGTAACAGCTCACACCTATTGAGCATTTATGATGTGCCAAGCACAGCTGTGAACAGATTAACTCATTTTCTCCCGGAACAACCCTCTGAGACAGGTACCACCATTACCCTCACTTCCAGGTGGGCACGCTGATGGACAAGGAGCTTAGGCAACTTTCCCAGGGCCAAACAGCCAGAGGGTAGCCAAGCCTTCTTGTCACTGGAGGATTGAGTGAGATTCCAGATGTGGAAAACCCCAGGATATGGGTAGGTGCTTTAAAAATGAGTGGAAAACCCCAGGATATGGGTAGGTGCTTTAAAAATTTTATGGATTCCGAAGCCAGTGACTTTTCATTATGTGGGCAAACGCCGTGCTGAGAGAGCTGGACTCCAGGGTAGGAATGCCAGATAAAACGCAGGATTCCCACGTTGAATTTCGATTTCAGATAAACACCAAATAATTGTTCTGTCATTATGTCCTTATACTAAAATAATGACGTGTTGACCTGAAGTTCAGGTTTAGCCAGGCATTCTGCATTCTCATTCGCTAAATCTGGCAACCTTCTTCCACACGCCTGCTCCCCTCTGCACCTGCTGGTTTTCAGTGCCCCCAGAGCTGGTGGGGTGGGGAGCCCAGGGGCGGAAAAGGAAGAAGGGAATGGATAATCACTGGGCACCCAGCGCATACCAGGCAGCTGCGGGTTGCTATGTCATCTCTACTTTGCAAATAAGGAAACTGAGGCTCGGAGGGCTTCTGTCCTTTGTAAGGAAAGGTACTGAGATTCCAACCCTTGTTCTCTCCACCGCAGCAGGTTGCTATTGGGAGTTAGGACTCTCGCTCGGGTCCTGCCCAAGCAAGGAATCTAGCTCTCCTCCCTCCCCCTCTCTTTTTCCTCTTCTCTCCCCTTTTGGGTATTATTTTTTAAATTTATTGTTTTAAATCCTCACCGAGGATATGTTTTTATTGACTTTAGAAAGAGAGGAAGGGAGAGGAGGAGAGAGAGAAGAAAAAAAACACTTCTATGTGAGAAAGAAACATCGATCAATTGCCTCCCGTACCCACCCCAATCAGGGATCAAACCCAAAACCTGGGTATGTGCCCTGACTGGGAATCCCTTTTGCTGTACGGGATGATGCTTCAACCAAATGACCCACACCAGTCAGGGCCCCTTTTGGATTTTAGATCAAGGGTTTAGGGTGCAGTGCCAGGTGCTAGGGTCGCCTGGGGGTTGCCATGGAAACAAGCCAGGCATTTGGGGTGGGGCCTGCAGTGGCCAGCCTGCTCCAAAGACAGGAATCTGGGAGAAGCCAGGGGACAGGGCTCAGGCCACTGGCCCCGTAGTCCTTCCTTCCTGCAGGCACACCCACAACCTACCACCCTGCTCCCCGCAAGGAAAATGGGTCATTTTCTCTCAATTCCTGTTCCTAGGTATCTCCCTATTCCCTGCCCACCCCTCAGCTGCACAGAGGATTTGTATCCTTTTATCCTTCGAGCTGTCACCTTCCCTGACCACGTAGAGTGAGAGAATTGCCCCCTCCCTGTTCCCTGTCTTTGGAGTGAGGGCCACCCTCGCTCTGGGGTTGGTTACCCATCGCAGGGTGTGAAAGAGCCCAATGCCAGCTCCTCTCCCCGCCCCCCAGTGCCCAGTGCCAGCTTACAATGCTCTAGAAGTGTTAATGGCTGCGCTTGCTTCTGGACGCCAGGCCTCTCCTCCCATCGAACCCTTCCCTCTCCCCTCCCTGAGGGCTGGTCGCTGGCTGGGAGGGGTTGGGTGGCTGCCAAGCCAAACAGGCCAGGAGGCAGCATTGCCTTGAATGGAGCTTGGCTCAGGGGTGGGAGAAGGGACATCCCCCTCCCCCGCTTTCAGGGGGGGGATGGGGAGAGGGAAAGGGTGCTCAACTCCTCGGCCCTCTGTGACCCTCCCTCCCATCCAGAGACTGTCAGCTCTCACACAGCCCCTGCTCACCCAGAGGAGCGACGACGTGCAGGCACGTTTATAAGTCTTAGCAAATGTGTCTGCTTATCTGCTCAGAATGAAAAATGCATTGAATTCGGTGTCAGGGCCTGGGCTCCTACTTTGTGTGTGACCCTGGGGGCAGTTCTTACACACACACACACACACACACACACCCGGTCTCAGAGCCCCCAAATAGAGGAGAGGTTGACCGAGGACATGGCTCAACCCCCACCACTTCCCTCCTCTTGCCAGGACTTCCTTGGGACAAAGGGGCAGGAGGCCTGGACCTTCAACTGCCCCGCCCTCAAGGGGAGGGGGCGCTGTGCCCGCTCAGCTGGTGCCCCAGCATGGTCAACCCCGCCCTGCCTGCTGTCACCCAGGCCCCAGGGATTTGGTCCATTTGGGAAACTGAGGCCCAAAAGACATGACTCTTGTGTGCTCCTGAGCCCAGAGTCCTGCCTCCAAGCAGTGAGTCTTCTGCTCGGGGTCCCAGTCTCAGTCCCTGAGCGTGCAGGGCTCAGAAACAGCCCGGGAGAACTCGGAGTGTGGGCCTTCGAAGCACCCAGGTCCTGGGCGTGTGGTGAGCTGGCGCTGGACCCAGACTAGCTGACCTGGGGCTTGGCCCGAGGCCCGGGTCTCGGCCCTCAGGGAGGAACTGCTGCGGTTCTGGGCAAAGGAATAGAAAGGCCCAGCGGAGTGGAGATGGATGGAAAAATTGCTCTCGGTCAGCGACAGAACACACCCTTTGTTCTTGTTTTCACCTCAGGGCTCTCCAGGGCCCCTGAGGAAGCGAGTGAGAGGGCCAGGGGTCAGGGAGGGACCTCACATAAATGGGTCTTGTGATGGCTACTCGGGGAGAGGCCCCGGGAGCTGGAAAGGGAGGCGGCCGGAGGGTGTGAGGGCTGGGGAGGAGGATGGGTCAGGAAAGTCAGGAAGGGCAGGGAGGTGGTGACCCCGTGGCTCTGCCTCTCCTCCACCCGGCACCGTTGTCAGGGGTGGGGTTTGCTGCCAGCAGGAGGCACAGAGTGGATTTTCAGGCTCGGCCCAGGCTGTGAGGGAGGAGACCCCAGACCAGAGGGTCCCCCAGGCTGGGGGTTCTCCTGGGCAGCGGCTGCATCGCCCCCATTCTGTTTTGGAGGCCAATGCCGCTTGGCCAAGGTCCTTAGGGATCTGCTTAGGCCAACCCACTAGGCAGGGATTCTCCAGGACAAGGTAGGCTGATCTGTCTGAGAGCAGGGTCTCCCCAGCCAAATGGGGGCCATCGCAAGGCAAGGGCTGTGTCTTCCCCGCCGGACCATGGGCTCCTGGGGGAAGGCCTATCTCCCTACCATACGTGTTGCCCCGGGGACCAGCCCCAGGCTCTGACGTGGCCTCTCCGGGTGGCAGGCAACAAGTGGTACAAGCAGCACCTGTCCTACCGCCTGGTGAACTGGCCGCAGCACCTGCCGGAGCCCGCCGTCCGGGGGGCCGTGCGGGCCGCCTTCCAGCTCTGGAGCAACGTGTCGGCGCTGGAGTTCTGGGAGGCCCCGGCCACAGGTCCCGCTGACATCCGCCTCACCTTCTACCAGGGGGACCACAACGACGGGCTGAGCAACGCCTTCGACGGCCCAGGTGCTGACAGCCTCTCCCCTCCGCAGGCAGAGGGGGCCCTGCTAGGAGGGGCCGTCTGCGGAGGGCAGTGTAGCATGCGCTCTCCCCAAGGCCTTGCCCAAGCTGCATCCCCCTCCAAAGAGCCCTCAGTCTCCTCATCTGTCAAACGGGAACAGAACCTGCCCGATGTTGTGCCCTGCGGCTGTGGGGATGGTCAGAGGCGGTTCTGCAGGGAAAGTGCCTTGCAAACTCTAACGAGCATTTTATCTTTTCTGGGAGGGCCTTCTGCAGTCCCATCACCCATCCCCGGCCTCCAGACAAGCCTGTGCCTCTATTTTTATTTTTTTAAAAATTGATTTTACATAGAGAGGAATTGAGAGGGATAGAGAGTTAGAAACGTCGATGAGAGAGAAACATCCACCAGCTGCCTCTTGCACACCCCCCTGCTGGGGATGTGCCCGCAACGAAGGTACGTGCCCTTGACCGGAATCGAATCTGGGACCCTTGAGTCCGAAAGCCAACGGTCTATCCACTGAGCCAAACCGGTTTTGGTACCTGGGCCTCTCTTGTTCTCCAGACCAGGATGGCTGAAGCCACCACTGCCCTACACCTGCCCTCCCCCCCAAGCCACTGTCACCGTCACTGCCTCCGAGCAAGAGGCCTTCTACCTGCTCCTGCCACAGAAGCGCTTCAGGGGCCCACGGCCCAGATGGGCCTCCTGTCTGCCCCCAACCTGAAGGCTTCCAGCTGAGATTTACATTGCTGATCCCCCCGCCCCCTTCTGCTCAACACTGGCCTGCAGAGCCTAAGCGCAGGCTACCTCTGCATCCTCCCAATTCCCCTCTCCCCCCCTCTGCACTAAGGAGTCAGAAAATCTGATCAAACCCCTTCAGCTGGGCACTTAAGCCCTGTGTGGCCTCAGGGCTTGGGCCCCTACTCCCCTGCAGTCTCCTGCTTTCCAACAATCCCATTCAGAGCAAAGCCACTTGCAGGCCCTGCTGCCCAGACCAGGGTAATGCTGGCAGAAATCTAGGCTTTTTGAGAACCCGCCGGTAGGACACACACATGCTTGCCTATGATTCATTTCATCCATGATTATCTACATGAGACGTTTCCATCCGTCCCCAGGTGGAGTCTGGTAGCAAAGACAGCACTAGGCTGGGAGTCAGCTCTCTGATGTGGAACAGGTGCTCCATCTTTAGTCAAACACCTCCCATCTGTCTCCCAAGATCGTTGTAAGGGTTGAATGGAAAGGCGAGCATTGCTCAGAAACGGTTCAGGGCACATTCAAAACAGGGAGGCATGCGTTCTTCCCACACGTGGCCATCTCTGCACGCCCACGAGGCTCTCCTCAGCATTAGCTTCCAGACCGCTGTCAGTCCCCATTGGGCTGGGCTCCAAGACAGCAGCACTGGCGGGACCCTCAACATTACCACAGAGCAGTGTGCTGCCCCTGCCCCTGCCCCTGCCCCTGCCCCTGCCCCTGTCCCTGCCCCTCCCCCTGCAGAAAGTGGCCTCTGAAGGTGGGGCCCTGGGAACTGCATGGCTGCTAGACTAAATCTGGGGCACCCTACACTTGAGCATCACTGGTCCAGCCCAATTCCTTCTGCTCACTCCTATTATAGCAGGGAGTAAAGACCCACAGAGGGAAGGCAAGGACACAAGAATACATACACCTCCCCCTCCCCCCCCCCAAGAGTGGAAGGAAGAGGGAGACAGAGACAGAAACATCCATGATAAGAGAGAATCACTGATTGGCTGCCTCCTGTACGCCCCCTACTCGGAACCAAGCCTACAACCCACCCATGCATATGCCCTGACTGGGAATCGAACCATGATCTCCTGCTTCATGGATCGATCAATGCTCAACCACTGAGCCACACCAGCCGGGCAAGAATACATGTACTTTTTTTATTAAAGAAACTATGCATACCCATGAACACACCCAGTGCCCAGATCAAAACACATTACCAGCACCCCACAGGGTCTCCCCTCGTGCTCCAATTCTGGGGTAACCCCTGTACCTACTTCAAGATCTTCTACATAGCATTTATTATATGCTGGGCACTCGGTGTAGGTAACACACACAGATACACACATCTCTTTTCAATCCTCAGAAAAAACCCTGTGAGGAAGAAATCATTATCATCACTCCTGTTTTCAGATCGGGAAGTGAAGGCACAGAGGGTTTAAGAGACTTGCCCAGGGTCACTCCCCTAGAAAATGGGGAAACCAGGCAGTTTGACCCCATTAGCACGCGCACCCCTCTGCCTCCCAGCGCCTGCACGCCACAGCTGGGCATGGGGTCACCGCCCTTGAGCTCCTGCCAGACGGAGTTGGGAGGGAAATTGAGCAGCAGAATACAGCCACACGCTCCCCTGGCGTGTGCGCTGGGCGGTGGGTGGGAACGCGGGGGTCGCGGGCGGCGGCCCCCCTGACCCCCGCGCCGCCTGCAGGGGGCGCCCTGGCGCACGCCTTCCTGCCGCGCCGCGGAGAAGCGCACTTCGACCGGGACGAGCGCTGGTCGCTGAGCCGCCGCCGCGGGCGCAACCTGTTCGTGGTGCTGGCGCACGAGATCGGCCACACGCTCGGCCTGGCGCACTCGCCCGCGCCGCGCGCGCTCATGGCGCCCTACTACAAGCGGCTGGGCCGCGACGCGCTGCTCAGCTGGGACGACGTGCTGGCCGTGCAGAGCCTGTATGGTGAGCCCCCGGACCCCGGACCTGGGCCCCAGACCCCGGACTCCGGACCCCGGCCCCTGCCCGCCCCTGCCTGCAGGCCTGGGCTCCTCCATTGCATCTTCCACCCTAAGCGCGGGTCTCCATCACGGGCCCTTCCAAATCCTTAGGCTCCTGAAATCTGAAAAACCTCAAACCCCACCTCACGCATGCTTGCCCTGGATCAACCCCAACGAATCAAATGCCTGGGCACAGTCCTGCCCAACCCCCCACCTCCACGGTTGCTCTCACATCCCTGCCCATCACCCAGACCCAGTCCTCAGACTCACCCCTTCCCCTACCCGCTACGCCAGGGCCCTCATCCCTGCTCCCAGCGGCGCTTTCTCTCTATCCCAGTGGCTCCCAACCGGTTTTTTATTGGCCACGCGCCCTCTGCTTTGTCCGGGAATCAGAGGAGAGAGAGTACACTGCGCTGCACTTCTTAGTTCCACACCCTTGGAGAGCCCCCGCTTCCAGTTTGTCTCTGTTGGCGCCTCTTTCCAGACTGAGATGGGAGCGAGGGCTTCTGAGTTTAGTGCTATGGTTAACACCCACAACCAAAGACAATTCTTAACCCCACCCCCGCTCTCCTTCCCGGCCCCTCCTATCGGACAGGGATGAAAGGAGCCAAGGGGAGGGAGGGGTCTTGAGCCCGCAACCCCCTCCTGACCACCGTGTGCTCTCTCCCTCTCCCCTCCCGCCTGCAGGGAAGCCCCAGGGCGGCTCTGTGGCCACCCAGCTCCCCGGAAAGCTGTTCACCGACTTCGAGGCCTGGGACCCCCACAGATCCCAGGGAAGGCGCTCGGAAACCCAGGGCCCTAAATACTGCCACTCTCCCTTTGACGCCATCACTGTAGGTAAGACGGTCCCACCCATGCAGTGCTTCCTCTTCCCTCCTCCCCACGTTTCAGGGGTTTCCAGAGCTGGAGTTCAGGGGGAGCAGAAAGGATAAGACCCAGAAATTCCAAACCAAAAGGATTCTGCAAGGCAGCAAGCCCGTGCCAAGCAGAACGCTCCTTTCTCCTCCCGCCCAGCTGTGCCCGCTGCCTCCTCTCTGGTCAGCGTGGGAGCCGGGTTCCGGGCCTGCGCCTTCGGCAGGGGGCGGGTGGTCCCTGCTTCACTCTCTCTCTCGTCTCTCTGCACAGACCGGCAGCAGCGACTGTACGTTTTCCAAGGGAGCCACTTCTGGGAGGTGGGAGCGGATGGCAACGTCTCAGGGCCCCACCCGCTACAGGAAAGGTGGGCCGGGCTGCCCCCCAACATCGAGGCGGCCGCAGTGTCACTGGAGAACGGAGACTTCTTCTTCTTCAAAGGTACCAACCCGGGGGGCCGATGAGAAAGGGGGTCCTGCCCAAGGTCAAAGGAGGGGAGGCACCTCAATTCCAACCCCAACCTGTGGCCTGGGGAACTCTCCCAGGAGATTCCTTCTGTGGTGGATGGGGGAGGCGGTGTCCAGCTTGTTCGCGAGGGAGAGGGTGGGAGAACCCCAGAGAAGACTCTAGAGCAAGCATGTCAGACTCCATGGTCGGCAAGTCTGACATGCTAGTCTCAAGGGAAGAGAGGACCACGCTGAGCTCTGTGATTCTGCAGAAAGTCCTGCCTTCCTCAGATCCTCGCTGTAGGTGGGGCTTGTTGTCACTTAATTCTTGGAGCTTTTGGTTTTCTGAATGGGGAACGCAATCCCTCGGGTTTGTTGGGGAAGAAGGATGGAAAGAACATCCTGTCTGAGCAGTGTGCAGTGTATCACTTCAGTAAACAGTGTTCGTTCATTCATTCAACAAGCACGGAGCGCCTTCGACAGCCTGGGCGCGGTCGGAGGTGTTGGGGTATGTAGTGAGCCAAAGTCCCTGCCCTCCTAGAACTGGGAGGAGTAGTGGCAGTGAGGACAGCCCCTGGCCTTCCCTGGAGCCCAGTCCTCACCCAGGGAGTGCCCGCTGCTACCCAGGGAGAGGGGCTAGACATGTTCCTTTGGCACCACGTGCCCTCTACTGACACCTGCTGGAAGCCCAAGCCACAGCAGTCCCTCCCCTACTGTTCATAACCAAATATTAATTAGTATGATCCATTTTATCACAAACACTGACCGCCTTGGGCTCCAACACAAGACGGAAGAGAGGGTACCGGGGACAGAGTTGGGGTAGGGGGGCAGAGTTGGGGTGGAGGCCCAAAGGGTGAGAGCTGCCAGCTCACCCTGGCTCTCCCAACGCCCCGCAGGGAGTCGATGCTGGAGGTTTCGGGGCCCCGAGCCGGTGTGGGGTTCTCCCCAGCTGTGCCGGGCAGGAGGCCTGCCTCGCCACCCGGATGCAGCCCTCTTCTTCCCTCCTCTGAGCCGCCTGGTCCTCTTCAAGGGGGCCCGCTACTATGTGCTGGCCCCAGGGGGGCTGCAGGTGGAGCCCTACTACCCCCGAGGCCTGCGGGACTGGGGCGGCGTCCCCGAAGAGGTCAGCGGGGCCCTGCCCCAGCCGGACGGCTCCGTCGTCTTCTTCAGGGACGACCGCTACTGGCGCCTGGACCAGCCCACACGGCGGGTGACCGCCTCGGGCCGCTGGGCGGCGGAGCTGCCCTGGATGGGCTGCTGGCACGTGAACTCGGGGGGTGCCCTGTTCTGAAGGCGCCCCCACCTCATGGTGAACTTCAGGTGCTCTCATGGCCAGCCCCAGGGGCAGAGCCTGTCTCGGACGCCTCTCGGAGGCCCTCCCTGCAGAAGGCTCAGCGGAGAAGTTGGTCTGCGTCTGCTCCCCGGAGAACGCGGCACTCGCTGTCTTGGCGCTGTTCCCAGAACGTGGAAGTGGGGCCGGGATCAATCCCGGGAGAAGCCAGAAAGGGCCCCAGAGGCCACAGCCTTTTTCACAAGGACTTTCTTCCCTGGGGCGCGGGGATCCTGCTTTTTCTGCTAACGGCGCGGCTCCTGCCTCCGAGGCAGCGGCACTGGGCAGCCAGGCAGGCCGCAGGGCTCCGCAGAGAGGCTGGGACCACTCTGCAAGACTGTGTGCCTTCCCCGGAGGACCTTCTGGCTCAGTTCTTGGAGGACGGTGTCCTGTTTAACAGAGGCCTGCCTGCAGAGAGCCTGGATGGGCCGGGTACAAGGGACTCCGGCCCCGAGGCCCTGAGTGGGGTCAGCACTGGGAGCCGGAGGGAGATGGATGCAGCCCAGCTTTCTGGGGGAGGCTGGATAAAGAGGTGCCCACGCTGGTGGGCCTGGAGGCGCCAGTCAGCCTTCTGTGGAAGAGCTTCCAGGGAGGGAGGTGGGCATGGCTTCTGGTGAGGTGGTGACTGTTCTTCTGACCAAGCCAGGACCAGCAGGCTGTGAGTGTGAGCATGTGTGTGTGTGTGTGTGTGTGTGTGTGTGTGAGAGAGAGAGAGAGAGAGAGAGAGACAGACAGACAGACACGGGAAGAGGGAGCCTATCTCTCCTCAAAAAGCTCAATGTCCTCGCCCCCTCCCCTCACCACTCAGGCCAGATGGAGAACCACGTGTGGTAGGGGAGGTCAGGCTCTCTGAGGGCCTCACCGTTGGGGTTGGGGTGGGGACTGGGGGTGCTGGGGGCACTGCAGGCTGGGGGAGGCTGGTGCTCCCAGTGGCCACACACACAGCATTCCAGCAGCTCCTCCTGGCTGGCAGGAATAGCTGGGATTCCTCCGGAAGGAGCCAGCTCCCCCAGCTCCTGCCTTCTGCCTCAGCCAGCCTCAGGGCTGCAGCGTCTGGCTCTCAGACCCCCCCCCCCCCCACACACACACACAGACACACACCTGCCGGCGCCTCACGTGCACCCAATGGACCTCAGCACAGTGACCTCAGCCCTCAGCCAGACCGGCTTCAGGGGGGGAGAACGGCTTGGCCAAGCTCAGCCCTCAGCTTCCCACGGGCATTCCTGGCCCCGTGCCTTCCTTTTTCCCTCTGTGCAGCGGGAGAGTGACCTCTGACTGCCCTTGGATGCCTGTGCTGGCTCCGCCCAGGCCTGGGGGCGGCGGAGGCGCCGGCCTGCCTTTCCCCTGGGGCCTGACCTTCTGCAGCAGGGAAGGCGGTCACCGCCGCCGTCCTCACCAGGAGGGCACACCTGGCTCCCGCGCTTTGCTTACAGCTTTATTGAATGCTTTTCGGGGAAGAGCAGGCTTCTCGGAGGGCGAGGGAACCCAGAGGCTATGTCCTCTAGGGGGCGATGCCGGGAGGACCTGAAATACCCAAGAGAGGAGCGTGAGGCTCTGCCCGGGGACCAGAGCCAGGTGGCCAGTGGGCACTGGGCGATGCCAGGGGAGGGGGCCCCAGGGGCGCTAGGGGAGGAACGGAGCTCCGGGTGGCCTTGGGCTCTGCCCTGGGCGGGCGACAGAGGACCTGAGGGGGGCGCTCTGGGATGTGCTGAGAGCGCTCAGCGCTGGGGACAGGAGGACGTAGCGGGGAGTCGGGGGTCAGGAGAGAATGGGGGCGGAGGGGCACAGAGGCTCTAAGTGGGGGCGCTCCGGGGACCCCCGCCCCGCCCGAAGCCCGCGCCTCACCCAGGTCCGGGTGCTCCAGAACGCAGTGCGCTACGTAGGCCGGGTTGCTGTGCAGGTCGCTGCATTTCTTGCAGAAAAGGATCTCGCAGAGCTCACAACCCCCGCCGCACGGCTGCTGCGGCCGCTGGGTCTGCAGCACGCACGGCTCCTCCTCCAGGGGGGTCCGCCTCCTGCGGTGCGACCGGGCCCCCTGACGCTCGGTGCTCCGCGCCGGCCCCTCCCGCCGGGCCCGGGGCGCCCCCTCACCGGTCCGCCCGGGCCCGGGGCGCCCCCTCACCGGTCGGCCAGCGCCGCGGGGCCGCGCAGCAGGGCCAAGGGCAGCAGCCAGCTCCAGAAGCCGCTGTCCGCGCGCCGCAGCAGCGCCACCTGCTGGGCGCTGGGCTCCTGGCGCAGCGGGCTGTACGACACGGTCTCCCGCTCCTGGGCGCCCTCCGCCTCCCGGGCCTCCGCCTCGCCCTGCGCCGCGCTCTCCGCCGGCTGCCTCCCCTCGTCCTCCTCCTCCGACCCCGACTCCTCCGCCTCCTCCTCCCGGACCCCCGGCTCCTCCGGCTCCTTCTTCCACAAGGGGGTCTTCACACCTGCGGGCGGGGCGGGCGGAGAGGAGGTCGTACCCTGACTGTGCCCACAACCCGACTCTTTCCCCGCACCCTATCCACCCCTCCACCCCCCAAAAAAGCTCATCAAAGATGGTGCGTACGGAGGAGCCAGCAGGACTCCAAGTGAAGGTTACAGCGCCCAGGATTTCCCGGGCCTGCCTGGCTGCACCCCGCATCACCCCCACCCTGATTGCCCAGGTTTCTGCGCTTCCTAGGGTTTGAGACAAGTCACGCTGCTTCTGTCTAGTTCCCTTTGCTCGCCTGTGAAATGGGGAGAGCAGTGCCTATTTCAGGGGTGGTTGTGAGGCAGGTATGAGATCGCCCAGCTGGGCCAGCGGGCAGCAATGAACAGGAGGCAGCAATGAGACTTTCGAACCTGGAACCAATGAGGGCTCATCCCCTCCTTTCTGACTGGCTCTAGGGTGGGTACTGGTCTGTGGCGGTCCATAAACATCGATCAATAAACATCGTGTACTGGCCTGAATCCTACCACGTGGTGGTTTGTTTTCTAGATGATTCTTCCGTCTTCCAAGGGGGCCCTGCCTTAAGGAAGCCCAGCATCACCTGTGGAGGGCTGGGTGGGCAGCGGGCACAGAGCACCTCGTTAATGAGAAAAAGGTGCCTCCAACGAGCAGAGCAATTAGGAAAAGCATCTCTTTCTCCTTCAAGGCATGACCCCGATGGCCAGCCAGAGTCAGCTGCCACAGACCCCTCTGGCCGATGTCTTTGTTCAGGGCACAAATCCCACGACTCTAAGCCCCTGCGGAGGCAGAAAGTTCCTGGGCTGACATGGAGAGTAACCACCTGCGTGACTGGGCGGTGTCCAGCCTTAGTAGCAAACACCAGCCCAGCGCCCTCCGGTGCCCTGCTGTCCGCTGGGTCTGGGGAGCTGGCCTTGTGATGGAAAGAAGTGGGAGGGGTGCCGAAACCAGTTTGGCTCAGTGGATAGAGCATTGGCCTGCGGACTGGAAGGTCCCAGGTTCGATTCTGGTCAAGGGCATGTACATTGGTTGCGGGCACGTCCCCGGTGGGGGGCGTGCAGGAGGCAGCTGGTCGATGTTTCTCTCTCATCGATGTTTCTAGATCTCTATCCTTCTCCCTTCCTCTCTGTTAAAAAAATCAATAAAATATATTTAAAAGAAGAAGAAGAAGAAGAAGAAGAAGAAGAAGAAGGAGGAGGAGGAGGAGGAGGAGGAGGAGGAGAGGAGGAGGAGGAGGAGGAGGGTGACAGAGAAGGCACAATGCTGGAGGTTGCCCTGGAAAGGTGAAGGAAATCTGCCATGGACCCCTGCCTGACCTACAGAGGTTGGAGACGAAGGGGAACCGTGATAAAATTAGCATTCTAGCTCGCATGTCTTAAGCACCAATTTCATGCAATCACCACGCTAGGCTCTCTCTTCAGACACCGTGTTCCTTCATCGTCACAACGCCCTCAGCGAGGTGAGGTAGGTCACAGAGGGGCCTGCGAACTTCATCTAAGAGTGTTGGAAACCTTCCAAGAAAAGTTGTTCTCTCTTCAAAGATTCTGCCCGTTCTTGGAGCTCTGTGGTTGTGAGAGGCCAGACCCACTGCACAGCCAGAGAGGGGCGCTGGGGACTTGGCAGGAGGGAGGGAAATTGGAGAGAAAGGTTGGGACTTGGGTAAGGTGACCGGACGTCCTGCTTTTGGCGGGACAGTTCCGATTTTCAACAATTTGTCCCGCGTCCCGTGGTGTTTTAAAAAAGTCCGATTCCCCCCCGAAAATCGGGACTTTTTAAAAATGCTATGGGATGCGGGACAAATTGTTGAAAATCGGGACGTCTGGTCACCTTAGACTTGAGGAGCCAGGCCATGGCGTGTGGACTTTGGTAGCATGTGAAGTTCACAGAGGCATTTAGCAAAGGGTCCAGAGCCAAATTCACGTGTTTGGACTCCATCGCTGTGCCCATTTCCCCCCCTCCACAGTGCTCACTAAGCACCAAAGGCCACAGCCCTTCCGCAGCGGAAACACTGAGTGTTCTGATGCAGGGACACGTCCAGAGCTGTGTTGTAGGATGTTTCCTCCGACAGAGGAAGACCCACTGTGGTCCAGGCCAGAGAAGATAGAAATGTGAATCGCAGGAGGTTAAGAAGAGGAAGCAGATAACAGGAATATTCAGGCCATCAAAACCGGTTTGGCTCAGTGGATAGAGTGTCGGTCTGTGGACTGAAGGATCCCAGGTTTGATTTCGGTCAAGGGCACATACCTTGGTTGTGGGCACATCCCCGGGGGGGGGGGGGGTGCAAGGGGCAGCTGGTCGATGTTTCTCTCTCATTGATGTTTCTAGCTCTCTATCCCTCTCCCTTCCTCTCTATAAAAAAAATCAATAAAATATATTTAAGAAAAGAATATCCAGGAAACATAAAGGAGAGGGCTGTACGTGGATGGGAATAATCTTAAAAAGGCTGGGCTTGCTACTCTGGGGTTACCATGGTGACGAGCTGGTTGGTCCACCCTGTAGTCAAGAGACCCTTTCCTCTGGCCTCTCCCTGCCTCCAGCCCCACTTACCATCCTTATCCATCCTTCCTAAGGCTATGCTGCCTGCTTCTCCTGATCAGAGCCTAGGATGAGAGGAAGCAGCAGACCCCGTAGAACGTGGTCTGGTCTCTAGGGCTTCCGTTGGATCACCTGGGCGGGGCTAGAACCTCACCTGCCCACATGGTTCCACTCAGGAATCTGCCTTTTCTCAGCCTCCAAAAGCACCCAACCTCAGATACCCCCCACCTCCCTCCTGAAGGGGCATTATGAAAAGACAGTAGAGGATGGGTTCAAAGCTAGCTCTAGCACATACATGTATTTATTTTACTTATTGTTAATCCTCACCTGAGGATATTTCCCTATTGATTTTTAGGGAGCGTGGAGGAGAGAGGGAAAGAGAGAGAAAAACATCGATGTGGGGGAAACACATCGATCGGTTGCTTCTGACCAGGGCCAGGGCCCAAGGAGCCCGCAACCAAGGTGCGTGCCCTTAACTGGATTGAACCTGGGACCCTTTGAATATCACTGAGCCAAACCAGCTAGGGCTCTAGCACATAAATATAAACAGTGTCTGCCCCTTGCCCATTTGGCTCAGTGGATAGGCCTGTGGACTGAAGGGTCCCAGTTTGATTCCGGTCAAGGGCTCATGCCGGGGCTGTGGGCTTAATCCCCAGTAGGGGGCGTGCAAGGAGGCAGCCAATCAATGATTCTGTCTTATCATTGATGTTTCTATCTATCTCTCCTCTCTTCCTCTGTGAAATCAATAAAAAAAGATATTTTTAAAAAAGTATCTGGTTTTCAGCATGTTCTCTCTCTGACCCTCAGCCTCTTCCTCTGTATACCAGATCTTGTGGTACAGCACCACTTTCCCTGGCCCACAGAAACCGCTTAGAGCATGGCTTATGTTTCATTATTTTCTCCCCTCCCCTCTGTTCTGTCCCTGTCCTTCCTCAGCCCTGTACCCCCTTCACCCACTGCCGGCTCACTGCCTCAGCTCAGGGGAAGCCCAGCTGCCTGCATGAGGACATTCAACCTCACTGAGAGGATCATACAAGTGAGGAACCAGGGCTCCTGCTGTTCCCGTTTCCTTGGGTACAGCCATCATGCCTTGATGCCTTTATTTATTTTAAATTCTCTATCACTTTCATGCTTAAATGGCCATCCAGTTTGACATTACCTTTTATTGAGAATAATAAGTCTTTTTAAAAAAAAGATTTTCATTTATTTCAGAGAGGAAGGGACAGGGAGAGAGAGAGAAAGAAACATCAATGATGAGAGAGAATCACTGATTGGCTGCCTCCTGCACGCCCCCTACTGGGCATGTGCCCTGCCTGGGAATTGAACCGTGACCTTCTGGTTCATAGGTGGATGCTCAGCCACTGAGCCAGGCAGGCCAGGCTGCCAGAGCTTTCACACTGGCTGTTCCCTCTGCCCAAGTGCCCCCAGAGACCTGCAGGTCCTTCTCCCTTACTTCTCTCAGGTTCAATAGCATCCCATCAGTGAAGCCTGCCCGCCTACCTCACATAAAATCCCTCACACACCCATCGCTTTAGTCCTTCATTTTTCTCCCGGTGTTCCGCACCATCTGACTCCCTACAGATTTGTGTGTTTGCCATTTGTCAACCAGCACCCATCAACATGCAAGCAGCCTCCATTGAGTCAGGGGCCTCTGCCGAAACCGGTTTGGCTCAGTGGATAGAGCGTCAGCCTGCAGAATGAAGGGTCCCGGGTTCGATTCTGGTCAAGGGCATGTACGTTGGTTGCGAGCACATCCCCAGTAGGGGGCGTGCAAGAGGCAGCTGATCGATGATTCTCTCTCATCGATGTTTCTAACTCTCTATCCCTCTCTCTTCCTCTCTGTAAAAAATCAATATAATATATTAAAAAAAAAAAAGTCAGGGGCCTCATTGGCTGCTCTACATTTAGGCCTTTAATACTGTCTGGCACACAGTAGGTACTCAAGACATGCTTGTTGAGTGAATGCCTTTCTGTGGCCCTGGGGTGAGGAGCTATGAGCGATGGCCCACTGTGGAGGAATCCCGTGGGTAGTGTTAGGGTTGTGCAGATTCTGGGAGAATCACCGAGAGCTGGGACCCGCCCTGTCCCCAGCGTGGGTGTTCTTACAGTCTGATACGTTCACACACATCACACCTTTATTCCTCACCCTCGCAACACCCCGGAGAGGCAGACAGTGGCATCCCCATTTTACACGTGGGAAAACTGAAGCACAGAGAGGCTAGGTAGCATAGGAAGGTCACAGAGGGCTTTAGCGGAGGGTCCGGGGCAGACGCATGCCTTTAGACCCTGTCCCTGTGTTTATTCACCCCCATCCTCCAGTGCTCACTAACCACCCAGCACCCCCTGCCCTGCTTCCTTGTCCCCCTGCCCCAGAAGCCTCCACGTGTTCAACCCCGCGTTTCCTCTTCTCCCAGCTCCAGGGCGGGCTCTGCAGGGCAGTCCTCGCCTGCCAGGAAGAGCTAACAAGGAGTGTTTGTAGCAGCCGCTGTCTCCAAGGAGAGGAGAGGAGAGTGGAGAGGCCACACCAGGCTCCACTGAGGTCCGGCTGGCAGTGGGGGGTGGGAGGCAGCCGGCGGGACCTGCCCAGCTCTGGAGGCGAGACAGGAGTGTCCTCACTTCCATCCGTCCTGGCAGGGGGCGAACTCTGGGTCCCCTGGGCAGCCAGAGAGGGAGAGTGCTGCAGGACCCCCCAGCAGGGAAGGTGCTGGCAGGGACTGAGGAATGTGGGGAGGGGGCGGGACCAGGCCAGCCCCGTGGAGGCGGCTGAAGCCAGTGGCGAGTGGCAGAACCTGAAATCAGAGGCTCTCAGAGGGCAGAAGGGGAGCCGGGAGTCAGAGAGAACCAGCCAAGACACAGCAGGCGGCAGGAGGGAAGACAAAGCAGCGGGAGAGAAGAGGCGCCCTCCTCCTCCTCCTCCTCCTCCTCCTCCTCCTCCTCCGCTGAGGGCCAAGCCATGTCCCAGCGAGGGGGACGCAGGAGGAGGCCTGGGGCCCCTGGGCCTCCGCTGCGCAGCGTCCGGCCCTTTAAGTCCAGCGAGCAGTACCTGGAGGCCATGAAGGAGGACCTGGCCGAGTGGCTCCGGGATCTCTACGGGCTGGACATCAGCGCCGCCAACTTCCTGCAGGCGCTGGAGACGGGCCTGGTGCTGTGCCGGCACGCCAACGCCGTCACCGAGGCCGCCCTGGCTTTCCTGGCTGCGGCGCCCGCCCGCGCCCGGAGGGTTCCCGTGCCCCGGGCGGGGGTGACCTGCAATGACGCTGCCCGGCCAGGCACCTTCCAGGCCCGGGACAACGTCTCCAACTTCATCCAGTGGTGTCGCCAGGAGATGGGCATCCAAGGTACCCTCCCCGGCCCCAGACCCTCACCTAGCTGGGCGACCGCCTCCTCTCTGGGGCCCAGGCTGCACGAAGGGTCCAAAGCCAGGGTCCTCCTTCCAGCTCATCCCTTTTCATCCTTCAGTTTCCCCACCTCACAGTGAGCCCTCAATAGAGAAAGGTGTTCCCGGAATGATTCCTTCATTCCCCCAGCACACGCCGAGTACCTCTCTCCTTTGTGGGGAGCACTGAGCCCGGAGAGCGCCGATCCCCAGCTCCAAGGAGTTCAGGGTCTAGGGATGGAGACGGATGAGAGCGTAGATGCGTGAATCACAGCCCGTTGTGATAAAAGCTCAGGAGAGGCGAGGGAGAGCTGGGAGGACACAGCTTCCTGATGAGGTGGGAGGTGGGGGCAGAGGGAGGCTGCACCGAAGAAGGAAATCTGAGCTGAGTCTGGAGGCATGAATCCTGGGGGGAAAGGGGATTCTAAGCAGGGGACCCGCAGGGGCAGGACTGTTTGCGGACTGGGAGAGGCTGCTGTGGGTGAGGCCAAGGGCTGGGGTGCGGTGCTGAGAAAACAGTGCGGGAAGCGCTGGACTTTCAGGAGGGGCCGGCCGTGCTGGGGCCTGTGAGACTCAGAGGAGTGGGTGTCAGGGTCCCTCACCTCCGCGGCCTGGTTCCCAGCAGCAGGAGGGAGCTGGACGGTGTGCCAACCTCCAGGCCAATGGCGGTGGGTGTGGGGCAGAGGGGAGGGTTAGGCCGGGTACTGGTTGGTGGCAAGGCAGTGAGGGGCAGGGTTGGAGGGGGGATCAAGGCTAGTGTTTGACTGAACACTTACTGTGTGCTGGACTTTGCAAACACAGCAGTCCCGTGAAATAGACTATGTCCCCATTTTACAGAAGGGAAGACTGAGGGCCCAGGGACTAGCCCAAGGTCACACAGCGGGCGGGCGGGAGTGTCCAGGATCCCTGCCTCCGGATACCTGGGCTGGAGGTGGAGGAGGGGATGCGTGGATGTGAGAGGAGGAAGCAGAACGAACCTTTCTGCTTCCGGACTCACCGTCTCACAGCCGGGCCCCAAGCTCCTTGGCTTGGCTGTGTCCCTTCTTCCCGCCCCCAACCTGCCCTCTCCTGTGGGATACCACCCCTTGTCTGCACCCAGCGCCTGAGCCATCCTGCCCAGGCCCTTCGCAGGCGCTGGTTTCCACTGGGATCCTCGGACCCAGACCGGCCAGCAGGGGCTCAGACAGCCTGACACCCTCCCCGCCCCTCCCCCTCCCCGGTCAGAGGTGCTGATGTTCGAGACGGAGGACCTGGTGCTGCGCAAGAACGTGAGGAGCGTGGTGCTGTGTCTGCTGGAGCTGGGCCGCCGCGCCTGGCGCTTCGGGGTGTCGGCGCCCACCCTGGTGCAGCTGGAGGCCGAGATCGACGAGGAGCTGCGGCGGGAGCTGGCCCTGCCCCCGCCCGACCCCCCGCCGCCCGCGCCGCCCCGGCGCAGGCCCTGCCACTTCCGCAACCTGGACCGGATGGTGCGGCCCCTGGACTGGTCCTCCAGGCCCCGCCCTCCTCCCGCCCCCTCCTGTCCCCTCTGGGCCACCCCCTGTTTGAACGCCTGTGCCCACCCCACACTGATCCACAGAGTGGCTTTAAGTCTCAGCCCTAACCACACATAGCTAAGCCCAGATCACGTTTTTTTTATTTTATTAATTCAGTAGCCTGCGCTTCGCTCATTTAACCCCCGTGAAAGAGTTTGTAAGAACACAGTCCCTGGCACCATCTCTGGCACCTGGGATCAAGCCTGAGTTCCGCTGCTTTGCAGCTGTGTGACTTTGGGCGAAGCACTGAGCCCCTCTGTGCCTGCGTTCCCTGCCTGCGGGTGGGGTAGTGGTAAAGGTGCCTGGCTTCTACGCCTGACGGGTATCAGAGACGAAGTCCGTATGACGGGCTCAGGACAGTGTCCGGCAGAGGGCGCTGCCTTAGGAGTTAGCTCTTCTGTGGTTAGCCCCGTTCCACCACCGAGGAATTGGGGTCCGAGAGGTTCCTTAACTGGCCATAGCCTATGACACGGTGGAGGCGGGACTCTGACCCCTCCAGAGCCTGTCAGATTCCAAGACCCACCGTCTTCACCATGTCACCATTCCACTCCACCACCCCCACCAGCTGACCCGTGGGCGCTGGGCCATAGGTGACCACTCCGGGCCTTGTTCCTGCTGCGTCATTAAAAGTCTTCCCCACTCACTTCTCAGCCCCAGCCCTGACCTCAGCAGAAGCCTTGGGCTGGCTCTGGGGAGGGGAATGTCCTCCATTGAGCTTGGCTTGGCATGGGTAAGGGGAGGCGGGGGGAAGGGTTTGGGCACATGTGCAGAAGGAGGGCTGAGCCATGCCCACCGCCCGCAGGTTCAGAGCCTCGTGAGCCACTGCACATGCCCAGTGCAGTTCTCCATGGTCAAGGTGTCCGAGGGGAAGTACCGTGTGGGGGACTCCAACACCCTCATCTTCATCCGGGTAAGTGTTGGGTCTGAGGTGGAAGGGCCCCAGGGTCCGCAGACTAGGATTTCCTTCCATGGGACCCTGCCCAGGCCCGAGGGCTAGGATAGGAAGTCACCATTCATCCGAACGTCCCAGGTCTTGAGGCTTGCTTTCTCTCGCTGGAAAAATTCCAGAAGATTCCTCACAAAGCTGGCAAGCCTATCCCCTGCTTCCATCAGGGCAGCCAGGACCACCCCCACCATCCGCCTCCAACTTAGCCTTGATTCTGAGGGGTCCCCAGGCAGACGTGAGGTATGCAGGGTCCTCCCAACTTCCATCACCTCCACTCCACCCACGGGCTTGGTCAGAGCAAGGGGCTTGAGAAGCCCAAGTTTGGGTCCAGGGCTTGGCCCAGCCACAGGGACCTCAGAGTTCACCCCTCAGATGCCTGGCTTGGTACATTCTGCACTCGGAGCAGGAGTACCAGCTGAAACGTGCCTCCCGCTACCTCCTCCACGCCCCATACCTGGCTGTTCCTCTGCAGAGACAGTCTGTGCCCAGGGGAGTGGCCTGCAGCTCAGGGGCATGGCCAAGCCCTTTAGGGCACAGGCCACAGCTGGGGACAGGGAAGAGCCAGCTCCCTAAGCCCTCCCCCAGGCCCTGAGCCAATAGCCCTGGCAAGGCGGTCGGGGCAAGGAATTGTGGCCTTGAGTGCAGTGGGGCAGAGAGTCCCCCGGATTCTCTGACACACACAACGCGGAGCCAGGACCCCGTTTCTAATACAAGGATGCGCAGGGGGGGACCCCTTTCCCACGAAGGGAGGGGAGAGGGCTCTGCGGCCAGACGGCACAATGCCTGTGCGATGCCTGGCTTCCTTGTGGGACAGCTTCCTGTCTGACCTGCCTCCATCCTTGACAACTTGTGTTATCTGATGCCCATCACAGAGGAGACTCGGGTGGCAAAATATGCACACGCCCCGCTACAAGGGAATATTTGCGTGTGTGCGTGGGTGGGGCGTGTGCTGGGAGCCTGCAGGCTGGTCCAGAAAAGGGACACACTCTCCGTTTTGCCCTCCACCTTCTACTCGCTCCTCTGCAGGTCCTCCGGGACCACGTGATGGTGCGCGTCGGGGGCGGCTGGGACACCCTGGGCCATTATCTGGACAAACACGACCCCTGCCGGTGCACATCCCTCTGTGAGTCCCTTGAGAGTCCCCTCCCTGCGCTCTGGGTTGGGAGGCTGGAAGTGGGAGGTAGGTACGAACCCCAGGGGCAAGAGGTGTGTGGGATGGAGCTGGGGGATGTGGAGGAAAGAAGATGCTATAGAAGGTACAGGTGTGGTGCCGCCTCAGCCCTAGAAAGCAAGCTGAGCAGGCATCGTGCAATACCAATTCTAGCCACAAGATGACGCCACACACAGAGAATCAGCATTTTGGTCAGGGGGCATCTTGGCAGGGCTTAGGCCAGGCTGTGAGGTCCACAGGGGTGGCACCAGGCATGACCTGGAGGGGTCTTTAGTGCCCCAGTAATCTCCACCAGCACCTCAGGCCCCCTGAGAAGCATCCATTGTAAGTAAAATATGTGAACTTGCAATACCCAACGCAGCTTTAAGTAAGCCCCCTGCTGAGCCCTCGCACCAGGTTCCACCCCCCAAGCCCCGATAAGAGCATTCTGGCACTGGTGCCGTCCCTGTCCCTAATGTGGGGCGAGGCGTGTGGGAACGGCTGTGGCGAGAGCCAGCAGCAGGAACGTCATCCTCCCCTCCCCTCCTCTCTGGGGGGCTGTGCTGGTAGCACACAAGCCACGCAGCTTCCGGAAGCCCCCAGCCCCGCCGGCGCAGCACGAGGTGCGGGTGCTGGATGAGCCCTGGCAGCCGCAGCCCAGGATGACGGTCAGCCGCTCTCAGAGCCCGCCGCCGCCTGTGGACTGGAAGACGTACACCTGTTCAGGCCGGAAGCCGAGGCCGCCCGCCGCCTCCCCCACGCCTCGCCGTGATCGGGGAGCAGGGGCGGGGGTCCTCAGGGAGACAACGCCATTCCTAAGGTACAGGGGAGGGACGGCAGGGCCTCTTTCTTCTCCGGAGCCCACATCCTCGGGACCCACCCCCCCACACCCTGAGATAAAGGGAATGAGTCTCCTGGCAGTACCCGTACCCCAATAGGAACTCTGGTGTTCAGAACCAAAGAAAGCACCCGATACCTGTGGGATTATCTAGTGGCTCCAGGTGCTCCCGTTTCACAGAGGAGGAAGCTGAGGCCCATAAAAGGAACAGGCTTAGGCAAGGCCTTTCTGCCGGTTCATGGCAGAGCAGACACGAAGACTCCCCTGCCCCCCAAGACGGGTGGCCTGTGGTGGCTGGGGTTGAAGTAACCCGGGGTGCAGGCCAGGCTGCTTGCCACCGGCTACAAGGGGACGATGGAGAATAAAGTTAAACGGTATTTGCCATTAAGGCAGTGGTCGGCAAACTCATCCGTCCACAGAGCCAAATATCAACAGGTCAACGATTGCCATTTCTTTGGAGAGCCGCATTTTTAAAACTTAAACTTCTTCTAACGCACCTTCTTCAACATAGACGCGCCCAGGCCGTGGTGTGTTGTGGAAGAGCCACACTCGAGGGGCCAAAGAGCCGCATGTGGCTCGGGAGCCGCAGTTTGCCGACCGCTGCCGTAAGGAATACCCTTGGACAGACGCAGAGGGAGAGGGAACATCTGTTTCCTTCCACGTGACGGCTGGCCCCTTGGAGTTCTGGTTGGGGAAAGGCCATCCCTCCGCAGGGCCAGGGGCTGGATTGGGTGACCCTGCCAGCCTAACGATTCTCCCTTTCAGGTGCCAGGAGAGGCCACCCACCCCACCTCCGAGGCGGCTGCCAGCTGAGGACAGCTCACCCAGACCCCAATCCTCACCCACCCCACAGTGCACCTCCTCAGGGAGGAGGGCGGACAGACACCCCCCTGAACTCCCCAGGGGAAGGACTCCTGCGTCTTGGGTTCATGGGGAGACAGACAGCTGGGGAACCCATTCCAGGGCCTCCACCCCCCAGAGACTCCGAGCCCCCGAGGCTACTGCTCCAGGAACGCCAGCACGAGGACCATCTCCGCTGCCTCGTTACTCCAGCCCCTCAGCCAGGCCCCCGGGCCCCAGGAAGCCGCCTCGGGGGGATGCTCCCTCCCAGCTCGGGGAGCCAGTGCCTGTCCGTCCTCCATCCCCTGCTAAAGGACCCACCGAGACCGCTGCCCAGCGGGCCCCCGCCCGACCTCCCCCTCCAGGAGGAAGCTGTCCAGGTCTCACCACAGACCCGGAAAGAAGCTCCATGCCACCAGGGGCCGCCGCTGGAGTGCTGGCTGGGTCCAGTCGTGGTGGGGACTGCTCAGTGGAAGGAAGGCCAGGGGTCTGGAAGCTGGACATCTGGGTGACAGCAGAAGCTGGACAGTCTCAGGACCTGGACACGCCCCTGACCCCGGACGGGACCCGGAAGCCAGCCATCTGCCACACACTTGAGGAGGAGCTTTTGGCCAACATGAAGCTGCTAGAGGTGGGGACTGCCCACCCCCAGGGCCCAGGTTCTGGCCTCATCCCTCGCAGTGGAGTCTACGTCCCTGGCCTGCGGGGGCGGTGGCCTGAGCCTGGGGGTCCTTATGACGAAGTCATCCAAGAACTGGCGCGGGGCCCTCCACCCCTCACTAAAGTGGACCTGGGAGCCTGGAAGGCTGCCCCTCCCAGCTCCCCTAAGCTGGCAGTTACCACAGGCCCAGGAAGCCCAAGAGGGAAACTGGGAGCCGGAGAGAGTGGGCCAAGGTCAAAGGCAGCCCTGAGTGCCACGGACGCTGGCATGAGGAAGGTCCCAGCTCCAGGAGGGCAGGACCGCTCAGCCCCTCCCGTGGGTGCCAGCCTGGCAGCCCCCGCACCTTCGCCCTTGGACCCAAATTCTGACAAAGCCAAGGCATGCCCCGGCAAGGGCAGGAGAGCACTGCGGACGCCCCAGAGAGTGCCGTCTATCTACAAGCTGAAGCTGAGGCTCAGAATCCGGCCCCGGAGAGACCACAGGCCTGAGAAGCGGCCCTCGCGAATCCCTAAACCCCTGACCTACCTCCGCCTGGGTCCAGCCAGGGCGCCCCCTAGCGGCAGGCCGGAAAGAGCGTCAGCGCTGGGCAGGAAGGGAGGGGAGGCAGCCCTGGTGGATGGAGCGGGGGCAGGGGAGAAAGAAGAAGGAAAGGAGGAGAAAGAGCCAGCCATTCCACGGGAGAGCAGACCCCAGTGTGCAGAGGGCCTGGGGCCTCAGCGGCTGGATCCACTCCCTCCCGAGGAAGAGTCCTGGGTCTAAGGAGGGTCTTCTCATCCCGGGGCCAGGGAAAAGAATGCCCAGGTAGCCACTGGGATCCCAGCTGCAGGAACAGAAGGAAGGGTCCCTCACCTCGATGTAGGGCCTTGTCCAGGAGGGCTCAGAAGACAAACAGAGCATCCATCAGCTCAGACTAGCAAATGGGACCACCCATCACCCCCATTCCAACTCCAGAATTGGGATAGGGGCAGTGGGGCCACCCTGTATGGTATCGCCCTCCCCCAGAGCAGCTCCCCAAACTCCTGTCCTCAGGCCGTGCCCACTGTTTCCACAATGTCTGTAAGTTATTAAACACGGGTGGGTCTGTCCTTGAGTGCCCAGCTTGAGTTGCTCTCTCTAGGGCTGTAGTGATGCAGGAAAGCGTAGCCTCAGACATTCTCCACCGGAGGGAAGAGGATGGGGAGGGAGCGGGGGTGAGAGAGGCGGTCTTTCTCTCCTGAGGTTCAGCCAGCCCTGCCCCCAGATAGCCCATCTCCTGGAGGTGGCTGGTGCGTCAGCACCACGGACAGGGGCAATGGCCACCAACACAGGCTCCTGGGAGACTTCAAAGCTCGGCTCTGGGGCTTGGGGACTGAGAGCCCTGGAGTCCAGAGGGATGGTTACCATATCCACACCCGTGACGTCATGGCAAAGGGATCACAGAGGCTCCGTGGGGGTGAGACGGACCCGGGGGTTGAGTCCAGTTATGCAAGGTGTCCCGAGCACAGCAGAGGGAGATGCGCTTCCCCTCCGGAGGGTTCTGGTCAGTGGGAAGGCCCAGGGGTAGGTGGAGTGGAGGTGAGTCCCATCCTCTTCCCCGTGGTCCTTCTGGTTGCCCTGAGCCCCCAAACTCAGGCCACCCCAGCACCCATGCCCAGCAGAGCTCTGTAGGGAGCCCCTTCCTTTCCACCCCCAGACACGGAGCCGACACCTCGGTACAGAAACGAGGGAAAACACTCCCTGATTTTTAATCTGACTTCCGTTCACAGCGCAATGGGCGTCGCACACACTTCCAGACCCTGTGGTGGGAAACCGTGGGTGGGGGGGGGAGGCAGGGAGAAGGACAAAGACTCAGAATGGGGGGTGGAGGAAACAGAAACCAGACCTGGGTGAGCCGAGGGGGTGAGGTGGGACGGGCAGGCAATACATTCCAATGGCTCCCTCGGGGGCAGCCAGAGACCTGGGTCCCCCCGCCCCCCCACTTCAGGAGCCTCAGAGCTGGGGGCGACGGTGGCGATGAGATGCTGCCATCCCTCACCCTGTCCCCCTGGTGAACCAGGGAGCGGGATGCAGGATGGAGCGGGCAGGCCCTCTTCCGTACCCTCCCGCCACTCGGGGTGTGGGGAAGGGGAGCCACCTCCTCTGCAGCAGAGGGCGGCTCAGAGGGCAGGTCACTTGCCCCAAGTCATGTAGCACAACGGGGACTAGACCCAGGGAGACCCCGGACGGCCCGGGTCAGGGCGGTCCTTGTCGGGCTGTGCTACCCAGGTGGGTGGAGGGGGAATCAGCTGGGAAATTCATAGATTCCCTCTCCCACTAGATCTGGATGATAAACTCCCCACCCACAAACCCTCCCCCAGACTCCTCTCCATCACCGCTCTGGGCTACCTGATTGCCTGGTCTAGCCAACCACGCTGGGCCAGGTCAAGGCCGAGATGTCCTGTCCGCCCCTCTTCTAACAAGGAACCTTGCCGTCCTCCCATCAGCCCGGGGCTGAGGGTTCAGCCTCAAGGAGAACTTGGCCTGGGGGGCAGGGAACACGCCCCGTTTTGTGGCCTCCGAGTCCCCCAGGCATCCCTCAGGCTGCTCCTGGGACCTTCAGTTATTTTTGTTATTTCTAAGTCGATACAAAACTGACAGTGATCAGCTCTGGTGAGGAGAGGTAGAAACCCGGCCGGGCAGCCGGAGAAGACGGGGTGGAGTGAGTCAGGGCCAACTGGTGTTGGCACAGGAAGTGTTGATCCTGAGGGCCTCCATCCAGGAGGGGCGAGAGGAGGACGCAGGCCTATCTCCCTCGAGCAAGGGGGTCCCCATCATTCTTTTCCTGCCTCTACCCCTCCCCAGATTAATCAGGGTAACCTGAGATTCAAGCAGGGGCATCTGATTGGGGTGGATGGAAAAGCAGAGCCTTTGCTGGCACAACCTGGGCCCCAACCCCCACCCTGGGAACCAACCTGCCCCCCTCCTCCCAAACTCCCCAAACCCAGCATCCCCCGATCTAACGCCACCCAATCCAGGAAGGAACAGGGGGCTGGAACCTGGCATCATGGGAGTACACCTCTCCTTCGGGGGAGTTCCTCTCCACACTCTGCCAGGGGACCAAGCTTTAACCCAGGGGGTGACCTGGCTTCGGAGTTAGGAAGGGGGTGGGGGGCACCCGGCAGGGACGGACCATCGAGTTAAGGCTGGAAGGTAGGTTGTTGTGTCTCGCTCGGGGCTGCTGGGTGGGGAGGTCTCCCTGGAGAGGGCAGAGCTCAGCTTTTGCCCCCTGACTAATCTGGGACCTCAACCCTCGGACCGGACCGAACCGAACCGAACGTGGTCCTAGGACCACCGGCCTCTCTCTGTCCTGCGCCGGTGGTGGTGCTGCCAGGCCAGAGGCAGCACCAGGACCTGCAACAAGGGGTGGGAGAAATGAGAGCCCTGTGAGCTGAGCTGGGGGCGGGGAGGAGGGGGGCCAGAGAGTGGGTGAGACCAAGAGATACTTGGGCAGACCGATGGGCACGGGAGGAAGGCGCGGGGCGATGACAGACACACTCTCTGGAGAAGACTGGAGGGGGACCGGCTAAGGCACCACCTCCCCATGCCCACCCTCCGTTTCCTGCGCGCACCCCGACGATCTCAAAAGGCTGTGGCGCCCCTGGGGGCCAGGCTGGGTACTGCGCTCACCACAGCCCTCAAGGAGCCGTCCCAGGAAGACAGATTGGAGAGACGGGAGGACCCGGCCGTTTTGGGGGAGCTCCCTTTCGCCCCCCACCCCCCGCGCCCACCTCTCACCCGGAGGCGCGCGGCTGCGGGGGCGGACCAGGCCCGGGCTCAGCGTTCTTGTCCCGCCGCTCGCTGCTCAGGCCGGGCAGGCCCGGGAGGAGGCCGCCCGGGCGGCGGGTCCGGGCAGCAGCCTGGGCGGCCGGGGCGGCGGGCGGCGGGTCCGGGCAGCAGCCTCGGTGCCCGGGGCGGCGGGCGGGCGGTCACATGACGGCGCAGCGGTTGCGGCGCAGCGCGCCCTGGAAGCGCAGCGCGGCGTGCACGTGCTTGCAGCGGGCGCAGCCGACGCTCTTGAGCAGCTCGCTGAAGAGCAGCAGGATGTGCCAGTTGTACTTGGCCGAGCACTCCACGTAGCCGCACTTCCAGGTCTTGCGCACCAGGTGCGACACGTTCCAGCGCGGGATCACGCGGCCGCGCTGCAGGTCCCGCTTGTTGCCCACGATGATGATGGGCGTCTCCGAGGTGCCGATCACCCTGGGGGACGGGGAGGGAGGAGGGGGCGAGGGGGAACTCTCAGGACTCCACCGGGGTCGCAGCCACTTGGACTGCCCTGGAGGCCGGCTGTGCCTGGCCAATAACGGTGTTGCCATACGTCTGTCTCAGGCACGCCTGGCGTTACGTTACATTCTCTAATGCGCACAGCTGATCCAAAAGGTGGGTACTGGTGTGTGAGCCCCATTTTACAGATGAGGAGCCTGAGGCTTACCCATCTCACTGACCCGGGCATGCAGCTGAGGGGCCCTGGCAGTCAGTCTTGTTCCCGGAGTCCCTGATCGAACCCCCGTATTAGACTCCCCAGGATAAGAGTCCCAGAATGAGTTCACAGAAATGGGGAACAGGTAACAGAAAATGTCACGAGTGTGTGTGTGTGTGTGTGTGTGTGTGTGTGACGGGATGTGTGGGACCTGGAGGGGACTCCATCTGCACCTCTCCACCGCGCCCTTTCCCCTGGGACTGGCTAGCACTAGGGCACCCACTGAGGTGGCAAAGGACTGTATCCTGGGCCCTCACCTCGTCTCTAGGATCTGCTGGCGGATGGTCTTGACGTACTCAAAACTGTCAAAGCAGCAGATGTCGTAGACCAGGATGTAGGCGTGGACGCTCCGGAGTCCCCTGCAGCAGGCGTCTGCCCACTCCTGCAACACCCCAGTGAGGGCCAAGGTCAGAGCAGGCACGGGGGCTCCCCTTGTCTCCAGCCACCCCCAGCCATAGACGGACAGCGCTCTCACCTGCCACTGCACCCTGAGCCTCTCACACCCACCTCTTCCCAGGAAGCCAGGGCCTGGGCCGAAGGGAGCTCAGTGCCGCGGCCTCCCCACCCCAAGCTGGGAGAGGGCAGGTCACACTGTCCGACCTCCAGGACCACTACACGGATCTGTGCATACCGGGAGCTGTTGAAATAGTCTCCATCTGTCCTAACTGGTTTGGTTCAGTGGACAGAACGCCGGCCTGCGGACTGAAAGGTCCCAGGTTCGATTCCCATCAAGGGCATGTTGCAGGCACATCCCCAGTGGGAGGTGTGCAGGAGGCAGCTGATCGATGTTTCTAACTCTCTATCCCTCTGCCTTCCTCTCTATAAAAAAATAAATAAAAAAAGTCTCTATCTTTAAAAAAAATTGATTTTAGAGAGAACGGGAGCAGAGATAGAAACATCAATAATGAGAATCACTGATGGGTCGCCTCCTGCGTGGCCCCCCACTAACGATCAAGGCCACATCCCGAGCATGTGCCCTGACTGGGGAATCGAACCAGGACCTCCTGGTTCATAAGTGGATGCTCAGCCACTGAGCCATGCCAGCTGAGCAAAAACAGTCTCTAACTTCTAAGTCTTAGCTCAAATGCCTCCTCCTTCAAGAAGCTCCCTTAATCTCCCGTGTGTATATACCTTGGTTATAATTGTTTCATCTCCAGACCCCCCACTTCTGTGAGCTCCTGAGAGAAGCAGAACCAAGCCATCCTCATTTTTATGTAACTCCTCCTCCTCTCCTCTCAGTACCTTGCACACTGTGTTGGCTCCTGGCAGGCTCCGTTAAGGGCGCACTGCCTAACCTGGTGAGCTCTCCATGGTCCTGAGGCCAACTTAGTCCACACTAGGATCCGCGCAACTCCTGTCTGCCAGGCTGCCCTTAGGTTGCTATCTGATGTTCCCCTTCTGTAGGCTCCACTCTGCCCAGGGACAGAAGGAGCGGGTCTGAGAAGAAAGACTGAGACTGGATACATAGTCGGGGCTGATGGACAGCAGGGCCCCAGGGAGCCGGAACTTCCTGAATGTTTGTGGCAAATTCTTGGGACGGTGTTGCAGCTCAAGAGGACTAGACCCATGGAAAGTCTGAGTGCACTAAAGAGAAAGTTCTTTAAGAATGAATTAGCTAATTAATTTGCCAGCAGATGGCAATTGCAAGAGCTGTTGAAGGCAGCCAGTGTGTGGAAAGAGGATGGACTCGGAAGCGGGGGAGGCAGAGGCCTCCGGGCCAAGGGGAACCAGGGTCTTCTCCTTGGAGGGGCCGGGAAAAGACGAGGAGGAGGCACAGCATGTCTCCTGTGCCAGCTTGTGAGTTGAACTGGGGCAAAGGCATCAGGGAGGACTACGGCAGGCTTTCCACCTCAGAGAAGGAATAAAAAGGAAGCGACTTTGGTGGTGGTGGTGGTAAAGAGTTGTGTCTGACTCCGGAAAGGTGCTTCCCACCTCGGAAGCTCAGAGGTTGTGGCAGTGGGTTTCTCCAGGAGGATGAGGTGGCATCTTTTCTTTGTGCTGAGCTCTAACTTGGGTGCAGGGGGAAGACACCGAGGACAAAGCCAACACTGTAGGAAGCCGTTCACTGGCCTCTGGGGCCAGATAGCGCAGCACTCCGCGGGACACCGTGAGCGCCAGGAGCCTAGGACCCACATCTGTACATGGTTCCGCCCCCAACCCACAGGGGCGTGGTTAGTGGCAAGTGGGAGGAATGGGGAAACAGGCCCTGAGGTGCCCTCCCTCCTCCAGCTCTCGACTGGGGAGAGGGAACAGCTGCCAGCCTTCCAGGGTGACAGCCCCACCTCTTCCACCTCTTCCCCCACACGCTGACTCCTCAAGGGGCCTCCAGCCTGCCTCCAACCCCCTTCTCTCCGGAGGTTCCTAAAACGGGGAGGAGGAAGGCTCCTGATTGGCTGGCTTGTCCCTTCATCCCTGGTTGAAGGGAGGGGACAAGAAAGCTCAACTTTCCTTCCAGCTTGTTCTAGGAAGGGCTCCAGGTGGTCAAAGACCATCTTGGGGCCCTGTCAAAGCACAGGAAGGAGCAATAGAAACTGAGTCCAGCCCTAGCCGGTTTGGCTTCGTGGATAGAATGTCGGCCTGGGGACTGAAGGGTCCTGGGTTCCATACCGGTCAAGGGCACATCCCCAGTAGGGGGTGTGCAGGAGGCAGCTGATTGATGTTTCTCTCTCATCAATGTTTCTAACTCTCTCTCTCCCTTCCTCTCTGTAAAAGAATCAATAATATATATATATATATATATATATATATATATATATATATATATATATATATATATATATATATATATATTTTTTTTTTTTTTTTTTTTTTTTTTTTTAAAGAAACTGAGTCCAGTTCGGGAGATGAGGGAGGGAGGTCAACACCTGGGCCTCACCCGTGCATTCGCTGCCTGAGCCCTCTAACCTCCGCTTCCTTCTCTGATAGGAAGGAGAAGAGGGGGCTGTGGGAGAGACGACTGAGGCTCAGACCCAGGAGACACCACTCTCCTGGGCTGATTTCACCTGGAATTGGGAAGGAATGTGTTTTTGTTCTATTGTCAGGCGGTGCCATCAGGAAACTTGGGTTTTATATTTGTTACTTGTTGCTCCGGGAGTGAAGTCTTGGACATCCTAAAGAGTCCAAAACTCAGGGTCAACCAGAAAGAAAAAGGCCATCAATCCAATAGAAAGATGGGCAAAGGGCATTAAAAGTTGTCAGAAAAAGAAATATAAAGGCCCTTAAACGTATGAAAAGACTCTCAACTTCACTCACAATCAGAGATGCAAATAAAACCTACACAGAGACTATCAAATCTCATCTATCGGATTGTCAGACAACACGCTCTGATGGTAAAGCTTTGGGGAGCCCTGGCTGGGTAGCTCAGTTGGTTAGAGTATTGTCTTGATACGCCAAGGTTGCGGGTTCGATCCCTGGTCAGGGCACATACAAGAAGCAACAAATGAATGCGTCAGTAAGTGGAACAATAAATCGATCACTCTCTTTCTCTCCTGAATCGATAACGAAAAGGCTTTGGGGCAAACAGCGCTCAGATGGGGAGGGGAGTCTGACACCTCCCAAACTCCAGGTGGTTTACCCTTGATCTAAGCAATGCATTTCCAGAAATTCACCCCACGGGCATGTCTCCTATGTGCTACCTGACTATGTACAAGGCTGCTCATTGCAGCACCCTCTGAACCAGCGAAAGATCGGAAACAACCCCCTTGTCTAACAAGTGGGGAGCTGCCTAGGACGTCTCTCCAATGGACTCCAGCGCAGTCACAAAAAAAGAATGAGATGACACCTAGATACTGACATGGAAAGATCTCCAGCTTATACCATTCAGTCAAAAAAAACTACACACACACACACACACACACACACACACAAAACAAAACAAAACAAAAAAAACAAGGTCCAGAACAGTGTTGTTTTTTTAATGTTAAGAAAGGAAGTGGAAGAAGAACACATTTTCTTATTTGTGTAAAGAAACCCTAGAAGTCTGAATAAAAAATCCCGAAAACAAGGAGAGTGAGCGGCTTCAGAGAGTGGGGCAAGAATCAGGATGAAGCGGGCAGAGGTGGGACTGAGATTTCTCGGGGTGTACCTTTTTACCAGATTTGAACTTTTAAATCGCGTCTTACCTAAGCCAAATGTGAAATTAAATTAAAACAAAGTACACAATGAAACGTGAAAAGTACACAAAGCTTGATGTGCCGGCCTGGAGTGAGATCTGAGACTCAGGCTACTGTTCAGGTCTCCTTTGGGGAGCTAGACCCTGACCCACCGCCTTGACCTCACTGCCCCCGAGGAGGGGACGCCTGAACCAGGCTGCGGTCTGTGGTGCTGACCCCCCCACCTGGGATGGCAGAAACAAGCGTCCATGAGGCTGGAACAGGCCCTCCTGCCCGGGGTTGCTGAGATAGTGCTGAGCCTGAGTCCCTCCCCAGCACTAGCTGCACAATTACAATTGGCCAAGCCGTGGCCCCTGCCTTCCTGTCTCCACCACTGTGCCTATCTTCCTTCCAGAGCAAAACCTCTGGCAGGGGCTGCCGCCCGTGAGCAGTGTCTTAGAGCTCCCTGGCACCCAGCCCCTCTGAAGCCAGAAGCAGAGAGAAGGAAGGAGGACTTGGTCCTTGCAAGCTGGGGGCAGGAGCACTGTAAGCTGTGGCTCTGGGGGCATCTGAGTCCAACCCCTGCCGGAAGGGTGCCCAGCAGGCCAGTCTGGAGAGCAGGGGCAGAGCATCGCGTAAGTGTAAAGCCCCTTGGGCAAGAGACCTGTCTCTGAGAACACACCTTCTCCAGGTCTTGGCCTTTCCTTCTGCTGTCCGTCCACTGACCTTTCTACCCCAGAGCCCACTACAGAGCCCGGCACACATAAATAAGGCTCATTAAATGTCTGTAGAATAAACCAGCACACAATGGACTCGGGGTACGGCTCGAAGCATTCCTGGTGGCCCATGGTGCAGCGTGGAGCTGGAGAGGGCTGGAGTCCACTGCCCCCCTCTCCTCTCCCGGCCCCCCTCCCCTCGTGGGCCCTCCTACCTGCAGCGTGTTGACAGGGAAGGCGCTGATGGGCGGGAAGTCGAGGATCTGGAGGTCGTGCACGTGGCCGTTCATGACGACGGCAGGCAGGTAGAGGCGGCGGGTGGTGGTGGGCACGCAGACCTCGCTGAACTCGTTGTACAGGAACTGGCGCACGATGGCACTCTTGCCCACGCCTCGCGCCCCCAGCACGGCCACCCGGTAGGTGGAGACCATGCCTCTCGCCCCGCGCCGCCACCGCGTCCTCGCCGCTGCCTGGGGCTCCCCCGGGCTGCATATTCCAGGGGCTGGGAGCTCAGCCACCGTCAGGACCGGTCATTGCTGCCCCTGCCCGCCCTGGGCCCTCTGCGGCCTCCACCTGGACTGTGGGGACAAGAGGTGGGCTGGCTTTAGTGTCTGTGCTGAAGCGGCTCCGGCCACTCGGAGTGCCTCCCCTTGCCCGGAACCCCCGTCTTATCTACTGAAATCCTCTCCGTCTTTGCTTCGTTTGCTCCTGTCCTCCCACCACAGGGGATGCCCTGACTTCTGGCCAGCGAGGCTGGATGCAGAGCAGCGGGGCCCTGCTTCCCCAGAGCGTGGGGGCGTGTTTGGGTCTCCTCCCTCCGCAGGGGTGAGCCCAGGCCAGCGTGTCTCAGTGGAGGCACTCCTGGCATTCCTCAGAGGGAGGATTCTTCATTGGGCAGGAGGACTGCCTGGCTCACTGCAGGTCCTTTCACATCCCAGCCGCCAGCTGCAGCAGCCTCCAGTCACCATGACGACCCAAAATGCGCCCCCCCCCCCTTTCCAAATGTCCCCAGTGGGACCCCTGGGCTAGATGGCCTCTTGGCTCTGGAGGGCAACACTTGTTGGGCTCCTGCTCTGTCAGCGTGCGCGCCCACGAGGATCCCCCCCCCCCCCCGTGAATACGACACCCCCTCCCAGTTAGAGAAGGCTCGGAGGGAGTGAGAAACGCGCCGAGAACGCCAGCTACTCCTCGCCACACTGTCACGGTACTTCTTCCAAGTTCAGTGATTCCAGCTGGTCAATGCCCACAGGCCAAGGGCTGTGTCTGATCCCCTGGCAACCCCCTGGGCTGAGGGCCTGGCACAGAGCAGGTGTGTTGGCAGCCAGGACCCGGCTGCTACAAGGCTGGACCTTGTCACAGACTCATTAGCTCCTTGCTCGCTCAGTTTCAGGGACTTCAGAGCTAGGGCATAAACCACAGCTATGCTTTCCAGTGGTGGGTCCGTGGGCAAATCACCTGCCCAATCGGAGCCATGCTCTGCACATATATTAAAGGGGTTCATAGCCCCTACATCTGAGAACATCTATGTCAGGGGTCGGCAAATTCATCCGTCCACAGAGCCAAATATCAACAGTACAACGACTGACATTTCTTTGGAGAGCCAATTTTTTTAAAACTTAAACTTCTTCTAACGCCACTTCTTCAGCATAGACTCGCCCAGGCCGTGGTATTTTGTGGAAGAGCCACACTCCAGGGGCCAAAGAGCTGCATGTGGCTCGTGAGCGCAGTTTGCTGACCACGGATCCATGTAAATCTCCTAGCTAGGTGCCCTCCCTTTTCTAGGGGTTGAGGGGAGGATGATGACCAGGTAGCTGCTACCTGCCTGAGCCCTTCTGTTTGGGGACTATTCCCAGGAAGGATGAGACCAGAGCCTGCCAAGAGGGTCCCGGGGAGATGGGTTTGCTGGATTTTCAGGCTGCATGTACGTTTTTTTGTGTGGATGCGTGCTCTTTCCACACATGCACAGCTCATAGCTGAAGGTACTGCAGTCTTTCCTCCTCCAGAGGACCTAGCCCACTAGGTCCTTGTACCGACAGCACAGTGTGCAAAGGGCAGGATGTGGAGTGAGACACACCAGGGGTGGATTCCCAGCTTTGCCACTCACCTCACGCGTGACCTTGGGCATGAAACGTCACAGGGGGTGGAGTGGTTGCACAGGTAAAGCCAGGTGCCTGGCACAGAGCAGGTGTTCAGGGAGGAGTGGCCATTGTGCTGCACCTCCATCTAAGGTGGCTGGGATCTCTTAGCAATCCTGGGATGGGTCATCATCCACTGTTGTTGACAAACATGCTTTGTGTGTGTGTGTGTGTGTGCGTGTTTGTGATTCTTCCCCCCATTTTATTGACGGTAAAAACAAGAACCAAAACAACCCCCCAAGACTTAGGGGACGTGACCACAGAGCCAGCTGAGCTGTGAACTAAAAGTAGGACCCTGATCGCCTTCCTGCCCCATGTAGTGTCTTCTCAACAGGTGCTTATGGCTCCCCACTGGGGTAAGTACCAGTCCCTGCTCCCCACAAAGCCCTCCAGGCCCTGGGCCCCTCGGGCATCCCTGGACCCGGCCAGCTTGGCAGAGAACCCCAGCTGGGTTAATTACATAACCAGACAAGCAGGTGGGGAGGGGGCCATTGGAGGGCAGGCAGAGAGGACAGGGAATCCAAGAAGAGCCCTCTGCCTCTCTCTCTGGGTGGCAAAACTCAGAGGCATCTAGGATGTCCCCTACCTGCAGATCCTCCTGGACACCACACTGCCTGCCCAGAAACCAGCCCTTCAGGGGGAATATCGGGGAAATAAAAGCGGGTCACCGTGCTCCTGCCAGGAAGCGGAGCCAGAGGCCCCTAGGCTGGGGCAGCCTCCTGGAACTCACCAGGCCCGAGTGTGGCCCTGTGCCTGGCTGGGAGGTGACCAGTGCCCCCTCCTTCTCCCCGGGCAGGGGTCCTGGGTCTAAGTGTCTACGAATCCAGCATCCCCAGCAGGTGGGGGTGGGTGGGGGCTGCCGGGAGCAGCCGGGCCCAGCCCCTGAGCGCTCCCTCCCCAAGGCCTGCGCTCCGCAGTGAGTCTGCAGACAGCGCCCGCCCGCCCGCCCGCCCGGGAAGAGCCTGGGGACTCACACGGGGGCCCAAGCCCGCCTCCAGTCCTCTCCCCCCGGCCCGGCTGCCCGAGTCTCTGCCCCAGACCGAGGACCGGGCTTTCCGGGTCCCGTGGGCCGAGTCCGCCGCCGTCTGCCTGCTGCTGTCCCCACCACGTTCCCGTGCGAGTGGGTGGGTGGGGGCTCCGGAGGATGCTGGGCTCCCCATGACCTGATTGGTAGGAGTTTGGGGGTGGGGGGGATGCTAGAGCCCAGCCCGATCTCCGCCTCCAGCAGCACCTTGCAGGCACCCCGCACCCCCAGCTCCGGCTCTCACGTGGCAGCCCCGCGCCGCTTCCCCGCCAGCCCGCCGGCCCCCTCCTCCCTCCCTCGCTCCGGGCACCCGTCGCCCCAGCCGTACCCTCTTCACCCCCCGACCCCCCCCACCCCCTCGAACCCCGCGCCACCCCGCCGGCCCCGGACCTCCCGCCGCTTACCCGGGGCCGTCTTAGCTGCCCCCAGCCCTGGGGCCGCGCTCCCCCCGGGCTCCGGCGCTGCCCCCGGTCCCTGGCCCGGGGGGAGAGGAGGGGCCCGGGCTGCCCTGGCGGCGGCTCAGAGGCGGGCGCGGGGGCAGGTGCGGGCGCCGAGGGGTAGGCACCTCCAGCCCCTGGTCCCGGAGCGCCGCCCGCCAGCGCTGGGAGGAGGGAGGAGGGAGCAGGGAGGAGGGAGGAGGGGGAGGGACGAGGGATGCGGGGCGGGGCGGGGGGGGGGGGTTGGCGAGTGGCTGGCATTCCGCTGGGTCCTTGAGCCTGACACATTCACTTGGACGACCCTGGTCGAATTTGTTAATCCTCAGACCGACCTTCACCCCCTCGGACTCTGCTGGCGGTATTTTCAGCTCTAACCTGGAGGGCGGGGAAGAAGGGACCGGGAGGCCCCCATGCCATCTGCTTCACTCCAGGCGAGGCTTGCTCAGAGCGGAGCTGCTTCTTCCATGGGATGATGCCCCCTAACCAGGCTGCTCCTTCTCTCCAGACGGGGAGAGAGCAGGGGCTGAGGGCAGACTCACCCTCGTATTTATTCTGCAACCGTCGTTACCAGCGTCATTATCAGCAGCTAACACTTATGAGCACCTACTATGTGCCATGAGCACCTACTATGTGCCAGGCGACGTGCTCCGCGCTTGGGGTGTATCCTCAAATGTCACCGGCACAATCCGTGAAGGAGAGTGTTGATCCCGGCTTACAGATGAGCTAGCTGAGGCTGAGAGAGGCTAAGTTGTCTTACCGAAGGGCAAAAAGTGGAATATAGCTGAAACCGGTTTGGCTCAATGGATAGAGCGTCGGCTTGGGGACTGAAGGGACCCGGGTTCGATTCCGGTCAAGGGCATGTACCTTGGTTTGCGGGCACATCCCCAGTAGGGGGTGTGCAAGAGGCAGCTGATCGATGACTCTCTCTCATCAATGTTTCTAGCTCTCTCTCTTCCTTCCTCTCTGTACAAAATCAATAAAATATATTTTTTTAAAAAGTGGAATATAAAGATTGGGAGTCGCGAGCTGGGCGGCCGCTAATGAGCTTGGAGCTGAGCTATGTGCTGTGCCAAGGCAAGGTTCGGAGGGAAGGCAGAGGGCGTGGGCCAACTAGCTAGAGGAGTCCATGGAGGCAACGTTCAGGGAAGGAGCCTTGACAGAATGCACTTGGGGTGGGGATGTTGTGGGAGAGGAGGCCTGAGCAGAGTCCGGGACCAGACCTGCACTCCGGGGGCAGGAATCACGGCGACTGACAGGGAGCCACGTTGGTTGAGGTGAGGTAGCGAAGGCCTTGATTGCCGGTAGGAGTTTGGACATAGCCCTGTGCTGCATGGGAAGGCATTGAAGGTTTTTGGTTTTAGTTTTGTTAATTCTCACCCAAGTATATTTTTTCCCATTGATTTCTTTTAGAGAGTGATAGGGAGGGGAGAGACACACAGAGAGAAACATTGATGTGAGAGAGACACATTGATTGGTTGCCTCCCCAAGGCATCCTGACCAGGACTGGGGATCAAGCCTGCAACTGAGGTACATGCCCTTGACTGGAATCCAGCCTGGGACCCTTCAGTCCATGGGCTGACGCTCTAACCACTGAGCAAACCGGCCAGGGCCATTAGAAGGTGCTGAAGCAGGGTAGCCACCTGGTCACAGTTGTATTTCAAACGCCGGGAGGGCTGGGAGGCGGAGGAGCGGGAGCTCTGAAATACCTGTCTCTGCCTCTGAGACCCAGCATCGCCCACTGGCACTTCCTACTATTTGTGGCCATGGTTTCCCCGCAGATCCTAGTCCTCCTTCTCAATGGGCTCTACATTTTGGGCACCTTCCCAATTGTTCCCTCGCCTCTCCTGTCCAGACAGAAAGTGGTTATGAGCCAGAGTTCAGAATCAGACAGACCTGGATTTAGATCCTGGCCTTACCACTTACTGTGGGACTGAAGGCAAGCAAGGTTAACTCTCAGAGCTCCAACTGCCTTCTTTGTCAAAGCGGAGATGTGATCCCACCGCAAAAAAACGGGCTGCATCGTGCCAAGTCCTTAATGCAGAGCCTCACACGCACAAGTTTCCTTTTCTCTTTTACAGGGACACGGCCACTCACAGAGGAACCCGAGCCGCACCCGGGGAAAGTTCCTATTTATTCTGGGTGGGCTCACAGCGGGTGAGGGTGGGGGTGTGGGGAGGAAGGCCATGGCAGCAGCTAAAAGCAAATACAAGGCCCAGAAGGATGGCACTTCCTCCTGGAGAGCCGCTGGCGGGGGTGGGGGTGGGGGGGTTGGGAAGCAGATTTACTAGGCTCCTGAGATTACTCCTAACGTGATTAAACCATCCAGGGCACTATCCACCCCACCCCCCCCCCTTCCCCCAATATCTGAAATCTTTCATTCTTACTCTCCCGAGCGTCCTAAGCTTTATGCCAACTTCCTGGGCCCATAACACTCCATTCTGGTTCTGTCTCAGAGCAAGTGGACTAGAAATAAGAAACTGTGCAATGCTCACACTCGTATCTTGGGGCGTTTTCTCCAAAGCTTCTCAACTTAGTTATATGAGGAGAACAGAGAGCTACAGGTTAATTACGGAGCCTCATACTGGCCTCCAGTGGTAGGTCATTGAAAGCATTTTACACACACACACACACACACACACACACACACACACAAAATGCACAATTTGCCTGAACGTAAGATTCAGTTGTCATTTTGGTTTGCTGAGAGTCACTTCCGGCGGCTAAGAATGTACTTCCAGGGGCCTGTTCACTGTCTCTATCAGTAGGATTACCGTGGTGAGAGTTTTTTTTTCTTTAAAATGTTTTTATTTTATTGACTTTAGAGAGAAGGGAAGAGGATAGAGATAGAAACATTGATTGGTTGCCTCCTGCATCCCCTAGGTTGTGAACTCGATCTGTCATGCATGTGCCCTGAGAGGGAATCAGGAACCCATCTAGTGACCTCTTGGTTCAAGGGTCGACACTCAACTATTGAGCCACATCAGCCAGGCTTGGTGAGAGCTTCAGAGGCACTGTCCTCAGTTCTACCTGACTTTAAGCCTCATGTGGCTCTGGTTCAGCTGAGGACACCAGACAGTGGAGGTGCAAGCTCAGGCTCTGTGGAAGCAAGTGTGTGTCCACCCACAGCATCTGAGGCCCAGACATGGAGTGGGACAGAAAAGGCCAAGACCCAAACCTGCCTACTCTGGCCTGTTCCATCATAGCCGAAGACCCTGCACTAGCTTCCAGAGGCTGTTCAGCCATCTATCCTGGAACCTCTGACCGTACGTGGAGAGTGAATGAAACCAGGGGGGAAAGCCAGAGGCTAGATCTGAACATCATCCCCCATCACCTACGTAGTGGCGGTGAGGGTGAGTGGCGTTGTCTCAGTCCCTAGAGTTGGGACAAAAGTCTGCCTGGGTCTCCTGAGCCTCTGAATCAGCTTTGCCCTTGTTGGCAGCATTAAGGATGGTGGGGCAAAAGCTAAATGAGAAACTGAGATGGCAAGTTTGGAGTGAAACATCCTGGTTACTAATAACATATCTGGGGGCTGGCTGGGTTTCTAGGATTAGTGTTCGGAAGGTAGAAATGGGTAACAACGGGGGAGGTGTGATCTTCCCCAAGTGCCACACCAGGTATTAAAATAAACAGGCTCTTGCTCCTGGAGCTGAGGGTGGCAGGGAATAGAAATCTGGGTCCCAACAACAGCAGAAAAAGCATCAATGCATGAGGTGGGAGTAGGAGGGCTCAAACCTGGGAGTCCTCAGCTGTTCTCCGGCTTCAGAAATAGCGTCCCTGAGCTCTCAGTATTTTATAGTTGCCACTTGATGGGCAGAGAAGGATCATAACATATCATTATCTTGGGGGCTTAGCAAGGTTGGCCGTTGGCCTGGTGGCTCATTGCAGAGGGAGGAGGGAGCCTGTTTGGGAACACTGTAGTGCAGGGGTAAGGACTCCAAGCTGGAAGACATGACTCTACTGCATCTCATAAAAAATGAACTTAATGCTCAATTCAGGGGATGGTCAGGGATCATGAGCATAAAGTGCTTTTACAGTTTTTCAGCTGCCACAAAAACTGAGCATCACTGTGTCAGAGGAAGCAGACCAACAGTGTGAGTCTCTGCCCCGAGAGCACCTTAGAAACACTTGGGGACGTTAGGCTGCCTCCTGCACGCCCCCCAATGGGGATCGAGCCCACAACCAGGCATGTGCCCTTGAACGAAATCTAAAATCTAACCTGGGACCCTCAGTCCACATGCCGACGCTCTATCCACTGAGCCAAACCGGCTATGGCTCCCCCAAATGTTATTCTTAATACAGTCGGGGCTAACAGCTGCCCAGCATACAGAGACAGCCAAACAAGCTCCCAGATGCCAGAGGAAGTTGGCTCATGGTGTTTGGATCCAAGTAATGAAAGCAGTTTATTCCGAGCGCCTCAGTGCCGAGCACTGACTGTGCTCACCTGCATGAACTTGGCTGGTGCGGACGGACTAGTCCAAGGGCATCAGTGTTGGATCCCTCTGCCTCTTTCCTCCACTCCAGCTGTGGGGGATTTCAGAGGCTCTCGCTCATCAGAACCTGGGGCGGGGCCTCCATCTGGTACCACTTGGGTCACATGCCCCCAGTAACACAGGCAGATCACCTGAACTCCTTGGGAAGTTTGCTTTCCAGCAGCATTAATTCTATTCCCTTGAGAACATGCAGTCCGACCCAGGCCTGAAAGCCTTTATAAATGGGGGATTAGTGAAATGTCCTGAGTAATAGGAAACTGATGAGCTGTGCTGTGCTCCTTCTGCCCATGGGACCATCTGCCTGCGGCCCAGCAAGGAAGCTGCCAGGGAAGACAGATTGGCTCTCTCTGATCACTCCCTGCTTGAGGCGAGGGGCCTGTGGTGGTGACAGTGGTATGGGCTTGGTTCACAGGAGCCTCTGGGATTTTTTCGCAGGCCAATCTTGATTTCATCCAGCCAAATCCCCGCGAGGCAGCAAAGAAAAGTTCACATAGTGTGGGTATCAACGCCCATCCCTCGCCAGGCCAGCTGTGTTTTGTCCTAGGGTGTCAGTTCCAAGA